TTTTACAAGGTCCGCGAGGCTATACGTCTTCCAAATGGTGGCAGTGGCCAATCACCTCTTGATTTACTAATACATTAACCAATCGCCTGTCAATTTACTAATCCAATCAGGAACTAAAGCCCTGACTCACCTTTGCTCCTGCAGTACATGTATTATGCTCTTTTTTTATTGATTAAACTTTTGAGAAAATAGTTTTTCTGCTTGTTCATAAAACACCAGTCCTGATATAGCAATTGTGCATACTCTGTAGGGTATCCTTGTTTTGGTCACCATTAATATTAACTTAATCCTTCACATACGTTTTGGTGTATGAGGTGGCGCCCATCACCATTTCTATAAGTTACCCTTGGGCCACACAGTTGTGCAAGAGCTACTGTAACAGTAGGCCTAAGTCCTCATGTGCTCAAATTTGATAAGGCTAGACCAGTTCCAACTGTAAATTAAAAGAAAAAAATTGGAGTACACTGTATGAACTGAATGTTTGAAATATAAACTACATAATAGCCTGGCATGTTAACTTTGTGGTTCCTATGACAGCATATGGGGCTGTCAGAGGATGCCCAGGCCTGGCTTTTTTCCTTACACATATCACATATCACACAAAATATGACAACCAACAAATCAAGATGGTGTTGCCTAATATTCCACTCTGATAGCAGTTTGCACCCTCTGACTACAGTCCAGTATATTTGCTCCCACTCTCCCCATCACCCTCTGAGCGTCCTTGCAATACAGACGTTTGGGAAATGTCAGAGAAGACATTACCGTAAATTGCACCTGCCCTGACCAACAGGTCCGGCCCAGAGGACGGCTTGATTCATGGACACGCTCCTTTCTGAACTTCTCCTCCTCACAAGTTTAACCTCCTGACATTTCGGTTGACGCCCCACGGCTGCCATTCCACAGGCATTAAAGGACTTTTTTGCTCCATGAATGTCGATATACATTGGGACAGTATTGTTTCAACTCAATATGTAGATTAGTGACTAGAATATAGACTTTGAAGCCCTAAGAACTGCACTGGATTCCTTTAACCTCCTGACATTTTGGTCGATGCCCCACGGCTGCCATTCCAGAGGCATTAAAGGCATACAGTACGATTTCAGTGCAGCAAAACTGGAAATATGCTGAATAAGGCAATCTTTATGATATTGACACATACATACACATGTACTAGTTCACATTTGCACATTTAAATCAGCATTTCATACTTTGGGCATTTCAAGCTACAGAAACAAGTCCTTTCATACATGTAATTTTCTGGATAGTACCCTAAAAATCAGTCCAGGGCCCTTACATTAAGTTACAGTAACCGTTTTTCATCAGAATTTTGAACATTTTTGCTCCATGAATGTCGATATACATAATATTGGGACAGTGCTGTTTCAACTTAGTATGTAGATTAGTGACTAGAATACACACTTTGAAAAATTTGGTTTCCAAGCCCTAAAAACTGCACTGGATGCCTTTAACCTCCTGACATTTTGGTCGATGCCCCACGGCTGCCATTCCAGAGGCATTAAAGGCATACAGTACGATTTCAGTGCAGCGAAACTGGAAATATGTTGAATAAGGCAATCTTTATGATATTGACACATACATACACATGTACTAGTTCACATTAGCACATTTAAATCAGCATTTCATACTTTGGGCATTTAAAGCTACAGAAACAAGTCCTTTCATACATGTAATTTTCTGGATAGTACCCTAAAAATTAGTCCAGGGCCCTTACATTAAGTTACAGTAACTGTTTTTCATCAGAATTTTGAACATTTTTGCTCCATGAATGTCAATATACATTGGGACAGTGTTGTTTCAACTTAGTATATAGATTAGTGACTGACTAGAATACACACTTTGAAAAATTTGGTTTCCAAGCCCTAAAAACTGCACTGGATGCCTTTAACCTCCTGACATTTTGGTTGATGCCCCATGGCTGTCATTCCAGAGGCATTAAAGGCATCCAATACGATTTCAGTGCAGCAAAACTGGAAATATGTTGAATAAGGCAATCTTTGTTATATTGACACATACTAGTTCACATTAGCACATTTAAATCAGCATTTCATACTTTGGGCATTTAAAGCTACAGAAACAAGTCCTTTCATACATGTAATTTTCTGGATAGTACCCTAAAAATCAGTCCAGGGCCCTTACATTAAGTTACAGTAACCGTTTTTCATCAGAATTTTGAACATTTTTGCTCCATGAATGTCGATATACAATGGGACAGTGTTGTTTCAACTTAGTATATAGATTAGTGACTAGAATATAGACTTTGAAAAATTTGGTTTCCATACAAGCCCTAAAAACTGCACTGGATGCCTTTAACATCCTGACATTTTGGTTGATGCCCCACGGCTGCCATTCCACCGGCATTAACATGTCACAGACCCTCAGTGGCTTAATGATTAATCTCAACGTTTCTTTCTATCACACTATGTGGAGTTATGATCGCTTTAATGGACTACTTTCAGCCTGCACAAAGAACTGAGAAAATACATAATCATAACTACAAACCTCAATCAGATACTGGTCAAGGCTTACACATTGAAGTTCAGGACATTATACATTTGAGCAGATTACTTATTCAAAGAATTGTACAGGTGAGGACAAAAATAATACAATGTGATGGCATTAACGAATAATGGTGGAAAGACAGACAGAAAATACAGTAAATTCATTTAATTTTTACTGGGACTACATTAGAAAAACATATTTGCAGTGTCATACCAAATTCACAGTCACCACTGAAGAAAATGTGAAAGAAGAACAGTCCCAAACATTTCAAGGTTTACAGTATTTACATCGCCTTTTCTAATATCACCATCTTTATTTACAGATTACCATGAGAATTTAAACCACCCCATTATAAAACCCTCAGGGCCATGGGGTCTATCTGTTCTACAGGAGTCGCAGGTGTGGTTTAAACTCAGGATCAATAATCAGGGGATCAACTCTCTCACCTCCAAAACTGCCGTCTCTGCAAGAATTGGACAATCTAATTTACAGATACCGTCTTTTTATTATATCCATGGCAGAGGTCGGTTGCAAATTGTTGCAAACAACGCAATATAATAACATGAATCTGGATAAACTTAGATAAGAATCAATAGTTACTGAGAAATCTTTAAGTACATTTGGCTGTGCAAGGAATAAGTACAAAACGACATCAAAATTGTACAAAGAACTACGAATCTGACTGCACTGTAAAGAAGACAATACCAAAGTAGAAATTTGAAAGTGCAAAATGCTGTTTGGTTTCTCAATCTCACATAAACCTGGCTGCTTTTTTCTTGGCTGTAGGAGTAAGAAAACATCAAAATCGTACGTCAGCCTACAAATCTGCACTGCACTGTGCTGCGCTGTAAATAAGACCAACAATACCAAACTAGGACGTAATTTGACAAGTTGAGAAGGACATTTCCCTACTGACGCACGGGACAGAAACATTGACGTAAATCTTGTTACATCTTGTGGTTATCTGGCGGAAAAAAACTTGCCCTTGAACGTGAAGCTTGCAGGATAAAAACCATGTTGATGGATGTCGATTGCCTGTTCAGGTAATTATAGGACAGCACAGAAGCACTGACGTAAATCCTATTGTACCATTTCTGCCTGTTGCTGGGTACTTAAGTGCTGTGGACGTGGCTGACGCAGCAAAACATGCCCTTGTACATGAAGTTCCCAGGATAAAAACCATCAATTATTATGACTAGAATACTGTTGTTATGACCAGTTTTAAAATGACGTAAAAATGATGAATGCCTGGGAGGAAAAGGCTTTTGAAGTTGCAAATATCATTCAACAAGAAATCACAAATTTCAGACTTCTATAGTATAGGAAGTGTTTGGGGTTTGTGAATGTATTGAAACAGCATTTTTTTTCATGAAAAAATGCCTGATAGAAAAATGCATATACTACTATTGTAGATGTATGATGCAACTTGGTTTATGTTTAATACCATGATTTACTAATTACACCGTACACATTCCTCACAACCTCATACCCTGTCAATCAACTGGAACCCAATCTCTACCCACTCACTCCCAACCCTCGCTGCTTTCCTACATGTACCTCAGGTCTGTACTTACTAGTATTCATGCAAACAAAGTGCTTTCTACCAGGCTACAGTGCTGTTGTTATAGCACTACAAGAGACACAAGGAAGAATGTGGAATAGACAATTTGTTTCTAGATTAATCCTTAATGGTCTAGCTTGAAGCGTATCCAAGTTACAGACATGGTGCTTGTGGTCATTTCAATATGGATAATCAGGTCAAGATGCAGGGAGATGATTGCGTTAGGCTGGCTGAATGTGTATAATTTCTTATTGATGTGCCCTGCTTGCTGTCATGCCCAATTTCTTAAAAAGAAGACCATTTTTTACAAGTATGTTTCTTTCGTTAAGAATGATCTCCTTAAGAATGTTTTTATGCTTCGTCAAATTTATCCTGTATTCGTAAATGTTTTAAATATGTGTGATAATGGTTCAGAGATTGTTTTAATGAATCTCATGGAAACAGCTCCCATGCAATTCAGCCTCTGGCTGCCAGGTGGGACTGTAATGTATGTATTGTATATATGTTAATAATTGAATAAACCATTATTATTATTATTATTATTCTTGGTAAATTTGTAAAATTCATAGAAAAATTTTTAAATCATACTCAGATGAATGGTGTTGTGTTTAGGATTCTTGATTTAGAACCAGAAGGTTCTGGGTTCGAATCCCTGTCAGGCCCCAATGTTACATGCCTTGGGAATGGCATTTTAAGCCATTTCCTCACTCGGTGAAAATGAGAGCCTCAAAGCTATGGTTAGGGACGTCCTTAGCTTTCGGAAGGGACACAGAGTTCCTGTGTTTGAGGACAGCTACACCTCAAGCACATTTAAGAACTCAACACTATCTTATAAACAAGTTAACCTTGCTGTATGTTGTACCTGTTACAATTGTTATGCAATAAATTAAGTTCTTCTTTTTCCTATATTCTCCAGATGAGTGAGTCAGCAGGACTTCTGACAAGCTCCATGGCAACCCAGGACAACAACTGTTAGTCACGTCCCCAGCTGTCACCACCGTGCACCGACGGCCCACCAGGATCTGCCTGCTACTGACATTCGTCATTTCTTTGCCTCGAGGTTTCCAAGGAAACCAGTCAAAAACACATGCACAGCTTTTTCTGACATGTCAATAAAGTCACAGTAACAGTCTTATGGCCGCACCTGGGGGAATTATTGTTGTATCAAGGCCGCTAGAGCTCTGAAAGACTGCTGTAACAAACCCTCGCGATTTAGCCCCACCAATTGTAAGCTCCTCACGATTTCAGCCCTTGGCTGCAAAGAGAGAGTAATCGGCCGACCCAATAAACATCCTAGAAATAAATTTTTGAAAACCTGGCTGCCAGGATGAGTTCATCAGAGGACTTGCGAGTAAAACAGATCATGGCGATCACCCTAAAGACTGCCAAAGCTGGGATGGCACGTTTGAGAGGTGCCGACTTCGCGCCCACCATCGGACTCGGCTTGAACAAGGCTGGCTTCAAAGCCGTCCTCCTGACCAGCATCCCATCAAATGTTTCGGTGATCTCCGAATACGAGATCAGGACAGTCCGGCATAAGATCGGGGACGCGTACGAGTACAAGGTCGACTACGCCGACATCCTGATCCACCCGAAAGTCGAGAAGGACGGCTACGGGAGCACCAGCGACGACCCTCTCTCCAGCGAAGAAGACACGACGAGGGACTCCCCGAAAAACGACAGCCTCGGCCTCCAGTCTCCGAGCGGACCGGGGCTGACGCGAGAACTGGTCCTCGATGAACCTAAACCCAAACCCATCCGTACAGAAAGCAGCGACGACGGTGATGAGGAGATAGAAAAGGCAGTTGCGCCGGTTCTCATCCCCCCGTCCATACAGATCGAGGAGAACAGGCTGCCTACTATCCAGCTCCTCGACGTTCCCTGGGCGATCGTGATCCACATTTCCTACATCCCGGCCGGGTTCGCCCGACTGGGGTTCGACCCGCCCCCGGGCCACATCAACCGGGACACGGGGAAACGCTTCGGCCCACCCAACTACAGCGACCGCAGCTACCTGCAGGCCAACGCCGAGACGCTCACGCAGATGAGCCCAAAAGAGCTGATGGAGGTCGAGTTCCAGGATCAGAAGAGGGGCATCATCAAGGTCAAGGACAAGCGGAACATGACCTTCGAGAAGGCCGTCAGCCACGCCCGGAAGCTCCGGGTCGCTAAGGAGATCCCGGTGTACGCTTTCGCGGTGGTCGGAATCGGCCCCAAACTGGCCAAGGCCAAGTGGAAGCGAGAGGTGGCCCGGCGTCCACAGGACAACGCCGAGAGCAGCTGACTTGTTTCGTACTACAGTCAGTCAGAAAGTTGTATCGACAATGACGCCCCAAACATCGAGTCTAACGACATCAATGTCAATGTTGGCAACGTCCTGAATGTTCCGATTGAAAACAACGTCGATCAGAGGGACAGTATTACCTGTCGTGTATGTAGAATCCTCTAAGCTGCCTGGTTTGCCTGCAGTACTGGTGTAATACACCAGGGGGCAATTGTAATGGTTGGCCAAGACAGTACGCAGCTCTCTAGTCAAACTGAAGTAGAACTTGCTGCCATCAACTCCAGTAATGTGCTCTTTGTATTAGACAACTTTCAATGATGCTGGGAGATAGAGCTGCAGAATGAATTGTTTGGTATTAACAGTACCTTGAATTTTATGATGCCTTTCATTGTTTCACTTGAGAAACTGGAGAAACAGAATGATGCATGTGTGTGGTACAATGCATGGCACAACGTGTGGCACATGTGTAGTACAATGTGTGGCACGTGTGGTGCAATGCATGGCACAATGTGTGGCACGTGTGTAGTACAATGTGTGGCACGTATGATACAATGTGTGGCTCATGTGTAGTACAATGTGGCACATGTGGTGCAATGTGTGGCACATGTGTAGTACAATGTGTGGCACGTGATACAATGTGTGGCACATGTGTAGTACAATGTGTGGCACGTGTGGTGCAATGTGTGGCACATGTGTAGTACAATGTGTGGCATGTGTGATACAATGTGTGGCACATGTGTGGTATGTATACAATTTGTTGTACAAATTGTCTATGATCAAGAATGACTTAAATGGTATGTAAATTTTGATACTGTGGAAATATTTGAGAAGAAAATGGCTGTAAGACAGTCTTGTTAAGGTATACTTGACTTTCTTGTGAACAGTTTCTGGCATTCAGTATTCAGTGAAACATTGCGGGAAATTGGTATTAACTTATTGTGATCAGGCCAAAGGAGGCCAAATGTACATGTACAAACATATGTACACATACAGTTCTTGTATTACCACTGGTTTGAGTCAGACTATGACAAGAGGTACGAGTACATTTTTCTGCTTGACAATTTGAGAATTTTTCCAATCTCCTGCCAATAGGAGTAACTTGTAAATAATGGATTTTTTCAATGGATGCAAAAGTGTAGAATTCGACACAGAACACTTTATTTGAGTAACTCCCTTCCTTGAAGTTTCAAACATTCCGCTTTCTGAACAATCAGAGTCACTGACAGGGCTTCAACAAGACCATAGGCATTTACAAAACTTATAAACAGATTACGTGTATATAAATCAAATTCATTAATTAATTACAAGAAATCGTGAAGAAATCCAATTGTAATTTGTAAAGAAAAATCTTAGGTATCTGTATGTTTTGATTAAATGATTATATGATAGTTGCTGTTAATAGTGTGAATTTATGTGTATGATGACAAGTCAAGTGACAAAGTTACTTGTGTCAGCTTGTGCCTGTAAAAAAATGAATGTTTCCTGATTGTGATTTCAAAAGAAAATTCAAATGCAGGTCTAGAGATTTTGTTACTCTTTGTTTCAGCCTTTACTTATTCATAAAATACTCAAGTAGGTTTTGAATGGCAATCATATTCCTACAATAACTACATGATATTGTCATGTTCATTCTGACAATAGATAATCACAATTTGTATATAAAAAGTAAAGGCATACATGTACACCTGGATTCATACTTCAATGTATGCAATTGTAAAGAAATCAATGATTTTACTTTTCAACTCAAGAAAATTCCATCACATGTCGTGTTGTTGGAATGTCTTATTCAGATGCAGACAACGGACCATGTCTGGATAGTTTTACATTCACTGCAACTTTAGTGTCCATAAAACAAGGTTTCCATTACCAAACACCCATGGGGAGAATTGTTTGAATAAAGAAGAGACAACGAGGGCAGGTCTTGCATACAGATATCAGTCAACAAGCCTGAGCTTTTAAGCGTAAAAGTATCCTGCAGTTTCTTTGAAGTTTTAAGAAGATACATGTCTTTCCCATCTCTGTCAATTTGGAAAATGGAAGCCGGCAATAAAATGGGAATTCTTTTGAATCTGATATTTCCTAAAGGTAATGTTTCTACACTTGAGATGTTGTGAATGACATTTTGTACAATATGTGTTTGACTTATATGTACTCTCCCAATGAGTCATTTTGCACACAGGTACAAATATTATTAAGTAGCATTAAATGCTGTTCATCCAGTATCTGGCTCTGTTTTAGTGTTTAACTGTTTTGTCAATTCTTGGTCTGATGTGTACACTTATAATATCATAAAAATAAGAAATCCGAGGTTTCTGACTTCTGGAATGTATTTTCCAGAAGACATGAGTGACTTTCAAGTTCACCCCATTTCCTGTGTCTGACCTTTTGACCTGGCATTCTGCCTGTCAATCTTCCCTCCAACCATGTACTTTAACTATCAACTTACTCTGTGGACAATCAAAATGAGACACACAAACCCACAGCTGGGCCACCCAAAGCAATACTTCATAATTCAGAAGAAAAAAATCTAGTTTAAATTTCTAGAAATTTGAAAGAAAAAAAACATACATGTACATACACACACATACACATATTCCTGTACATGGGCTGGATAAATATCTTCAAACACTTTTGCTTGAAATGTCCTTAAGCACATTGAGATTCTTCAGGCCATACATAGTATTAATACCCCCAATCTGAACAACAATACTCCCAACATAAAATCTTATGATGGGGGTACTTCACTACTGCCTTTCTTTTTAAGTCTACCCTGGGTGCAACAAATAGACCATGATTGCCACAGAACCCTGCAAGTACCCTTTCTCACCATGTATCAAGAGACTAAGGTGACATTTTTACAACATATCCGGCACATCAACCTCCATTAGACCATGGAAGCATGTCTTTTCAGGGCATCAAAGGGATCACGGTTAGTGCCTTGCCTATCATTGATCCAAAAACTTCAAAGGGAGTGCATGTAATGGACCCACCTTGGGGAAAATTGCTGACATGGATAGAATTAGAAAGGAGTATGAGCACACTGTCTGTACAGGTACACTCCTACATAATATTTGTACACATTTAGACATTATAACCTGCATTGTCTTCATGTTTCAGTTTGACTACTTTTAATCCGTGTCAGCTGGTTTGTTTGAAACATTATATCAAGAAGACAGACCATAACTTTGTACTGTATAATTTCTCATTGAACTGATACCATGGAACAACATACAAGATATAGATGAGTGCAGTATTTTAATAGCCACCGGATGCGATAAACTTAAAAACAGAAGTTGGGCCAGCAGAAAATGTCTTAAAACCAGATAACATAACCTCTGAATATTGTACTTAGTTGCCAGCTCAAAGTCTTAAACCTTTAAAGTGTTAAAGTATAAAGTGCTAAGTTTTATACCTTAAAATATCTGAGGGACACACCTGTAAACATATGAATGTGCGAGTCTGAAAGCACTTTAGATGGGTCGAAAGCTCCTCCTGGTGACCTGAATTAGTACTGCATCTACACACACAGTAATCTCTTAAGGTGACGCTGAAGCTACAATTATCACTCATGTGGAACGTGTCCGAAGTTGGCCGAATCTTGATGTATTCAGATAGGAGAGCTAACAGCTGTGACAGGAGGGTGGTTTCAATTACGCCCACAAGACCTGACCCGCTTACACTGAAGGATGTTTCTTACAAAAAACACTGAGGGATAAATACACTGTATACAAACTGTGTGTCATATAAAAAGAGTTGTAGCCTTTAGCATCACATTAAAATATTGTTTCCCTTCATTAAAACGTGTGATTACCCCTGAACATGCTGTATTTTGGAGCGATAGTACGACCACTATGGTACGTGGGAGATACCAAGTAAGAAAAGGGTTTCTTTTATCTAGACAAATTATTAGAGCACACTATACATGTTTGTCGCTATAAGGTTGCAAAATACTAACGAAAAAATGAAAATTAACTACAACCTGTAAGTAGTTTCATGAAACTATGGACTCAAAACACAATATGGACCCTGCATGCTACTTGTTTTGAGTTGGACTCGTCCACACATGTGCTGGGCAGATCCCAGTATCGTTCCCAGTAGGGACGTCACGGGGATTATTCCAATTAATGCAGTGCAGCAGGGCTACATAACAGGCTCATTTGCATCTTCGGCAAACATCAGAGCCAATGGTTACCTCTTTTTTGTGGCAACTTTTCTCCGGATACATTCGGTTCATGCCTTATTTGGGTGTTTCACGTGGTGGGGGTGACCCCTTTCCTTGGCCGTATAAAGTTACATTTTTGGAGAGGTCGTTGCCCTGACCGAGAGACACACCAGAGTTTTGCATCAAAAATCAAGCTTATTTCTCTAATATCTGTTGAATTTGGTCAAAATGTTGAAAAATAATTTTATACGGACATGGCCTGCAGTGTTAGTAATGACTTTAGACTAAAGTTTTAGTGATATTTGGACAGCTTTAGGCACTAAACTTGCCACAAACGGATTGGGACCCCACGAACCGGAAGTTGAGTTTTGAGGTACAAATTTGCTAAATTGTCTCATTTTCTCCTGCAAAACATTTTGTTTATGTGATCCACATATATTTTTGTTACTTGTGTGTGAATTTCATTAAATTTGAACGAAATCTTACGACGCTACGGGGTTGAGAAGTCACCGACTCCTATACCCTTCCCGCACCACCCCACGAGACTACAGCGCCACCTTAAATTGTGGGACAATGGTATGATATCCATAGCTGAATATGAATATCATAATCCACACCACCACAAATCCACATAATGTTAAAATGAATGATTGAATACTTAATCATTCATGGAGCTGTGTGGCGTAAGGGCAGAGCATTCAACTCAGAACCAAGAGGTCCCGGGTTCAAATTCTGCCAAGCCACCAACCTTGTGCCCTTGGAAAAGGCGCTTTACACGACTTTCCTCACTTCACTCTGTGGAAAATGAGTATGCCAGATGATCATCATCATGCAAAAAATGGCTTTGCCCAAACAAAATGGTCTTATATGGCATTAACCAATTTAATCCTATACAACTGTAATATAGGTCAGAATAAATATATGTAATTATGAACATACCAAAGAACATAACATTCCAATATGTAAAAGACAGGTACCACATAATATTAGATAAACAGAACAAACAGTATGGTAAATATGGTATAACCAAAATTTTGTAATATCTGTCATTGGAGAAAAAAAAAAGTGCCCTACCCGTATGGCCTTGTCCACCCCCGCGGAGGCGAGTTTGTGGACTGTTCCGTTGCGGTACTGGAAGTCGAGGCTGTATATGGGGTCTCTGTTGTGCCAGGCGATCTCAGGAGTGTGGACCTTCATCTTAGGGAGTTACTGGAATAGATAGACTTGAGTATAAAAGAACTAAAGGAGATGAAACCTGCATGTTACGTTTCTATGTGCAGGACACAACACCAGCAACAGCTGCCTCTGTATTGCACTGTTGCTATTTCAATAAATCAAATCAAATCAAATCAAATCATGTAATAATATAGACTATAGCCATGTCATGATTTTATAGGGGTTATAATAGTCAGGATGGCAGGACGGACTTCAGGGGCTGAAGCTTAAAAGGACTAAGACTGAGAGGGTATGCATGATAGGGTGACATTTTTTTAACACCGCATAAATTATGTGGTACTAACTAACTAATAGAAATTATTTAGCTTAGATAACGTTACATGTAGGAATCGAAAAATCTCTAACGTCATATACGATTTTACATCAACGACCCTTTTTTTTCTAAACATGGGTGCTGTGGATCCAAAGGAAAGTACCGAAATCGTCGGTCAAATATCACTGGAAGTCCAAAAATATTTCTCTAGAATATTTTTTTTACTGCAGGGAATTCCGAAGAGTTCGCAAGATTGGGATTGAGGGGGGAGGGGGGCGAGATATGTTGCATTCCGGTGAATTTTGACGGTGACAAAAGCATGTTTCCAGACAAACGTTTTACTTTTGCATAAGGATAGTATTTGGGTAGTAACAGAAGCAAACGTAGGCTACATACCTTTCGGTCTGAAGCTGGAATTCTGCAAAAATCTGCTTTGTTTTCGTTCTGACCTCTTTCTGCAACAGGAAATTTCCCGCGGTTTTGGATTGCGCAAGCGCCAAGGCGCGACCCAGCAGCCTTTGCGATGAGGTAATACCAGCAATACTTGAGCATTCCGCCAGATGTCGCTGCTGCACGGGAAAAGCATCTAACAGGTGGTTGTACCTGTTGCACCTGTTTTCGCCATAGATTTAGCTTACGCACATTTACCCCCAAAAAATGGAAAAAGGCCTTTTTAGCGTGTATAACTGCCATTGCTGTGCATAAAAACATAGGCTTGGCAGGGGTTTGCATATAATATGCACAAGAAATATGATAACGTTACGTGTAACGCAGAAATAAGAAAACTAAGGTCAAGTGATGAGATATTTCTTTTAATCAATAAATGCCATTTTCCTGGCTAAGATTTTTCTAAACAGATAGATAAATGTTTGTTCATTTACTGACATGAATACTGTTGTTAGTTTGTTTGTTTGTTTGTTTGTTTGTTTGTTTTTTATTCCAACATGTAACGTTAATCACCAGACGTGGTGACGCCACATTCAAGTTTTTCAACTCATATTAATGCCGCCACCAACACAGGGGACAAATACATGACAGGACAGTACTCATTTTCACCTGAGTTAAGTAAGGAAAGTCGTGTTAAGTGCCTTTCCCAAGGCCAGGGCACAAGATCGGTGGCATGTCAGGACTTGAACCCGGTACCTCTAGGTTCCGAGTCGCGCACTCTGCCGCTACGCTACACGACCCCACACCCTGTTGGTAGTTAACTTAGCTACATTAATAACGTCCACACACAGTAATTTTACTGCTTGCATAACGTTATATATCACCTACTCTCATTTCGTTCCGTTGTTCGCATGAGTGTCAAGCTTGAGTAACATTTAATACTGTCATACTGTTACAAGCAAAACCTACATCATGGATATATAGTGGGTAAAAGAAATCTGCTGGAATATGTGCACTTTTGGTGTCCCCATGGCCATGTCAGTCTATCTGTATGGAACTGTTCTATGCCTCGTGTTTGTCTTTTTTTCCATTTCAGTGCATGCAATGATATCATGTGGTTTTAAACGTCCTCTTGACACGGCGACATAAAGTTTGACTATTGTTTGTTTGTTGGTTGGTTCCTACACTTGTCTGGTGATGACCACATACCCGGGTCCGTCGTTTGCCCCATCCTGACCGCTCGTGTCAGTACCGGAGTTAAACGAACCGCCTCCGCCGCCGCCATTTGGGTAATAATTCTCTCCCCTGCCTCCCCCTGAGTACCCCCCTCCCCCACCTCCTCCACCACTAGCCCCTTCACTCCCTCCCCCTCCACCAAACCCACCACCAGCATAATTACTTGCCCCACACCCTCCAACCCCGCCATTCACAAACGCCTTCCCACCTTCCCCACCCTTCTCACAACTGTCGCCTCCAAACCGTTTAGAACTCCCTCCATCCGTCAGCAGCCCTCCCCCGCCCCCACCAATGTAGTCACCCTTCCATTCTGTCGCCCCCTGTCCGTTAGATCCTCCACTACAACCAGGTCCTCCATAACTCTTGTTACCAGTAGTGGACACAGTCCCGTCACACAGGGGGTTATGAGTCTGTAGTCCCCTCCCTCCCCCTCCCCCACCCCCGGCGATAATGAGTGGCGTGTTGTCTCCCGTGGTGACAAACGTACCGCCCCCTCCTCCTACACCAGAGCTTTCTATTATCTCAGCGCCTTCTTGTCCCACCAGGATCTTCAGTGTTTCTCCTGTTAATTTCGAAAATCTGCATGAGTAATAATCATTTCGGACATCACTTCAGGGAAAGATTCTGTTTTACAAAACTATTTTCATTACTGGTTTTACACTTTTCATTCATTTTATTATACAATTAAATTCAATGCAATTGTAGTAAGTTCTATCTGGTTGGTTGGGTTGTTTTTATTTACAAACTGACAGGCTCTACAAGTGCTTCCGTAGCTTGAAAATATCTAATATTTCTTGTGAGGCGTGTCGACGCCCGGAGCCGTGGAACGGACTACTTTCTCTCGCGGAAGGAAAAGAGAAACGCATAGAACTCTCGACGTGGCTTTCCGGCTGATATCGCACCTTGTTTGAGGTTAAATGTTCCCCTCAGTACGGCACCCCGTCCTCGGGCGGACTTCGGGTTTAACGGACCCCACCCTGCAGCAGCACCTGTCAATCAAACATGTCAGGCACTTGACAGTAAATGACAAACAACGAGAAGATTTGAAATGGTGCACAGTTGCTACCATGTCAAAAATATGACTTGTTTGTGTGAAAATGAATAAATTGAGCCGCTCAAGAATTTCTAAATTAACAGCTTGTACATTAATTTGAATAAAACAAAAGTATATCTACAAATGCCTTCTAATTGCACGCGATAAACACAAATAGCAAGGCTGTTATAAGGCTGTTATATCGCCTATCATAATAGACGTCCCTACCCGCTGTCTCTATGCTGTACGTTCCGGTCCGCGGTACAGTGAAGTGTTGTATCCCGTCATGCAGCGTCACCAGGTGTTCATGGTCCTGTCCCCTGTAGTGGGTACCCAGGGTAGTGGGGCCCCGACGGCCGCTGGCGCCCAGGGTGGTCAACTTGGCAGTTCGGAAAGACGAATCTAGGACGAAATAGGTTAAATTTACATCATTCACTTGAATCCGATGAACAACTAAAAGATTCTAAGGACTAACAGGTTCTAATACAAATACATGTACAGCAAGTAAAACGTAACTGCATAGTTCCACATTGTTGCAGCCTATAGTAATGATGGTAAAACGTACCAACAATTTCACCAAGGACGACTTCTCTTTCTTCCTTTTCCCTCCTTGGCTCAAACCTGACGTAACTGATGTCGTCAGGAATGTCCGGGGTTGGACCTTTCAGCAGAGACTCCAGGCGGGCCGTGACGTCAGCGTACACGTTCATGACGTCAAAGTCACTGCCATGCTCCACGACTTTCTGTGAGAAGTCCACTGTGCTGGACAGACAGCCTAAGGTGCTCTCAACACTATCTGCTGTAGCAGAGAGCTGCTTGGAACGGGCTGTTGTGACGACCGCTAACTTTTCTTTCAGTTCAGTCTGCTTGCGTCTGACAAGGCCCGTGTAGTACTTGATCTCTTCCTCCGCAGCTGCATCGATGTCGTCTGCAGCTTTCTTACTCCTGGTGTCCAGTTCTGCTTGTTTTGTGGCTGTGACACTTGCAGCGTCTCGGTATTCTTCAATTTTTGCCCCGGCAGTTGCCAGGTTGCATTTGATCTTTGCCCTGACGTCACCCACAACGTCGGCCAGCAAGTCGTACTTGTGGTCTTTGTGCTGCAGTACTGTGCAGTCTCGGCAGATGGGGCTTTGGCACGTCTCACAGTAGAACTTCAGCTTCTCGTCTTCATGTTTTGGACACATCGGCAGTGATGTCGACTTGACCGATGACGTCTTGATGATCAGCTGCTCTTTTAATTCCGCAACTCCGATGACTTCATGGTCACGTGTACGTTTAGCACGACGGTGAGTTCGGGCGCAGTCCTCACACAAGAACTCTTCACACACAACACAACCGAAATTAGCCACTTCTTCACAGACATCACAAGGCATTTTGTCATTACTAGCAAGAGTCCTGTGAGATTCAACGGTGTCCCTCAAGCTCAGGACAAAGAAGTTGTTTTTGAGCCTGGCGACTCCGCCCTCCGGCAGTACAGTTTCGACCCGACATGTTGGACACGGAAACCTGTCTTTTACTTTACTTTGTTTCGCTATAAACGTCTCCAGACAGTCCTTACAGAAGGTGTGAAGACACGGCAGGATCTTGGGGTCTTTGTAGGGCTCCAGGCAGATCGTACACTCCAGAAAGTCGCCCGAAATCTGGTTGAGTACGGCCTCCGCCATGGCCACACCTGTATGCTTTACGTAATAGTAAGGAAACGACCTTCTCACCCGCCAGTGGGGACTCCTGGCGATTCAAATTATTTTGCCCCTACTTGATCCGGACTTTCCTGTTTTGTACCGTGTGTCACCCTCTATCCGTAACCAGTAGGCGGCCGAGTGTTTGTTGAAACCGGCGTCACTTCGTAAACACGCTATCAAGAACTTCCCCCGCTCACTCCCAAGAATCATACCAAGGAGGTTTCAATCATCTTTGACCATAGACTAATACAGAGAGAGAGAAAGAGAGCAGAGAAAGAGAGCCTGAGAGGGGGAGAGGGACAGAGAGCTGCTTTAAGATCAAGGAGAGCTGCTTTCAGATCAAGGTGAGGATGTCTGGCATAATTTCCCTGGTAACCGTTTTGTAGCCTATATGATGGTACAATGTACACCTAAGGCATTCTATGAGTACATCTGAAGCTGTACTTTAACCCTTTTTAACTTTTTTGTAGACTGAGCATGAATAAGAGTTTTCCCTCTAGTACCGCACTGTCTTGTCAGCTCATCTGGATGTGAAATATATGTATTGTTTGGGCAGCCAGCCCAAGCAATATATCATGTATATAATGTAATATGTAGAGATCGCAATTCAATCCTAGCTAGATATTTTAAAGTTGTTATGGTGGGCACTGATGTGATGAAACATGCAATTCAGCATCCGGGCTCAATACCAGTAAACCAGTCATTAAAGTAGTCGAGATGCCAAACGGAGGTCCCTAGAATGAATTTCGAAGCCCTCCGTTGGTCACCCTCGATAAGGGCAGTGAGATTACGCGAAGTAGGGCTCCATAGTGGAGATAGAGCAATATTCCAGCACACCTCTGGCAAGAGAAAGGTGCAGCGTTTTCCGGATGGCTGGCTTCAAGAAGTTCCAAATGTATTACAAAATGTATCAGCTCTGCTACACGGTCAAACTGCGCAAAGTGTCCAACAGGTGGTTGTGTCGCCATAGTCTTAGATGGAAACACGCAATTCTAACATTTAAGTTTATTTTTAAAAACAGATAGATAAATGTTTAATTCTTTACTGACATGCATACTGTTGTTAGTTAACTTAACTATATTGACGTCCACACTCGAGCACAACTAGGGAAGACTTTATTGGGTCTGTACTTTTTTCTACACATGTTCTACTGCGGCTGACGGGACAAACATGTAAGTACATGTTTATTACTTACACTCCTTTTGTTCCGTTGTTATAATGAGTGCCATACTTGACTGTCATACTGTAACATACAAAACCTACTTCATGCATGGTAACAGAAATCAGTTGGAATATGTGTATTTTGGGCGTCCCTTCTATCTGAAGAGAACTGTGTTTGTCATATTTTTAATTCCAGTGCATGCATTGATCATCACGGTGGTTTTAAACGTCTTCTTGACATGGCGACTGAACGTTGAGAGTATTTGTAATATTGTCCGTTGGTTCCTACACCTGTCTGGTGATGACCACATACCCGGGTCCGTCGTTTGCCCCATCCTGACCGCTCGTGTCAGTACCGGAGTTAAACGAACCGCCTCCGCCGCCGCCATTTGGGTCACACCACTCTCCCCTGCCTCCCCCTGAGTACCCCCCTCCCCCACCTCCTCCACCACCGGACCCATCACTCCCTCCCCCTCCACCAAACCCCCCATCAGCATTATAACATCTCCCACGTCCTCCAACCCCGCCATTCACAAACGCCTTCCCACCTTCCCCACCGTGATCACAACTGTCGCCTCCAAACTGTTTAGAACTCCCTCCATCCGTCAGCAGCCCTCCTCCTCCCCCACCCATGAAGAGGCCCTTCCTTTCTGTCGCCCCCTGTCCGTTAGATCCTCCACTACAACCAGTTCCTCCATAACTCTTGTTACCAGTAGTGGACACAGTCCCGTCACACAGGGGGTTATGAGTCAGTAGGTCCCCCGCCCCTCCCCCACCTCCGGCGATAATGAGTGGCGTGTTGTCTCCCCTGGTGACAAACGTACCGCCCCCTCCTCCTACACCAGAGCTTTCTGTGTTCTCAGTGCCTTCTTGTCCCACCAGGATCTTCAGAATTTCTCCTGTTATATAGAAAATCTGTAATCAGTAATAATCATTCCATGTCTTCCTGATCGAAGAAAGTTACTGTTTTCCAAAGCTCTTTCCATTAATCATTACACTTCATTAATTTTTATTATATTGATAATGCAATGCATAAGTTGAGGGATTTTAGTAAGGCGCATTTGTTTGTTTTTAGTTCAAAACTGAACGGATTTCCAAGAGCCTCCGTAGCTTGAAAATTTCGCACCTTGTTTGAGGTTAAATGTTCCCCTCAGTACGGCACCCCGTCCTCGGGCGGACTTCGGGTCACTCACACCCCAACCTGCAGCAGCACCTGTCAATCAAACATGTCAGGCACTTGACGGAAAATGACAAACAACGAGAAGATTTGAAATGGTGCACAGTTGCTACCATGCCAAACATATGACTTGTGTAAAAATGAATGAACTGAATATATAAAACAAACGTATATCTACAAATGTCTTCAAATTACATCGATAGACACAAATAGCAAGGCTGTTATAAGGCTATCATAATAAACGTCCCTACCCGCTGCCTCTATGCTGTACGTTCCCGTCCCCGGTACAGTGAAGTGTTGTATCCCGTCATGTAGCGTCACCAGGTGTTCATGGTCCTGTCCCCTGTAGTGGGTACCCAGGGTAGTGGGGCCCAGACGGCCGCTGGCGCCCAGAGTGGTCAACTTAAAGCAGCGATCTGGCAAAAAGGCCCGGTAGATTGTTTTATAACTAATAGGGAGGATTTTCAAAAAATTATAGTTTTTACTTTATGTTTGGGTCATTCTTCGATGTAAGTGAATATTGGTTGGTATGACCATCTCATATATAATAGCGCAACATTTTTTTTCATAATCTTAGCTGCGCTTCACACACCTAAACTCCTCTTTCTCACAAACGTTTTGCATAAATGTTTCAGAACGTTACAGGATATAAAAAAATTGCAAAACGTACCGACAATGTTGCCAAGGATGATTTCCGTTTCTCTCCTTTCCGTCCTAGGATCAAACCTCATGTAACTGATGTCGTCAGGAATGTCCGGGGTTGGACCTTTCAGCAGAGACTCCAGCCGGGCCGTGACGTCACAGTACACGTTCATGACGTCAAAGTCACTGCCATGCTCCACGACTTTCTGTGAGAAGTCCACTGTGCTGGACAGACAGCCTAAGGTGCTCTCAACACTGTCTGCTGTAGCAGAGAGCTGCTTGGAACGGGCTGCTGTGACGGCCGCTAACTTTTCTTTCAGTTCAGTCTGCTTGCGTCTGACAAGGCCAGTGTAGTACTTGATCTCTTCCTCCGCAGCTGCATCGATGTCGTCTGCAACTTTCTTACGCCTGGTGTCCAGTTCTGCTTGCTTCTTGGCTGCGACACTTGCAGTGCCTCGGTACTCCTCTATTTTCGGTCTGGCAGCTTCCAGGTTATCTTTGATCTTTGTCCTGACGTCACTCACAACGTCGGCCAGCAAGCCATACTTGTGGTCTTTGTGCTGCAGTACTGTGCAGTCTCGGCAGATGGGACTCTGACACGTCTCACAGTAGAACTTCAGCTTCTCGTCTTCATGTTTTGGACACATCGGCAGTGATGTCGACTTGACCGATGACGTCTTGGTGATCAGTTGCTCTTTTACTTCCGCCACTCCGATGACTTCATGGTCACGTGTACGTTTAGCACGACGGTGAGTACGGGCGCAGTCCTCACACAAGAACTCTTCACAGACTACACAACCGAAATTAGCCACTTCTTCACAGACATCACAAGGCACTTTGTCATTACTAGCTAGAGTCCTGTGAGATTCAACGATGTCCCTCAAGCTCAGGACAAAGAAGTTGTTTTTGAGCCCGGCGACTTCGCCCTCCGGCAGTACAGTTTCGATCCGACATGTTGGACACGGAAACCTGTCTTTTACTTTACTTTGTTTCGCTATAAACGTCTCCAGACAGTCCTTACAGAAGGTGTGAAGACACGGCAGGATCTTGGGGTCCTTGTAGGGCTCCAGGCAGATCGTACACTCCAGAAAGTCGCCCGAAATCTGGTTGAGTACGGCCTCCGCCATGACCACACCTGTATGCTTTACGTAATAGTAAGGGAATGACCTTCTCACCTGCCAGTGGGGACTCCTGGCGATTCAAATCATTTTGCCCCTACTTGATCCGGACTTTCCTGTTTTGTAGCGTGTGTCACCCTCTATCCATAATTAGTAGGCGGCCGAGTTTTTGTTGAAACCGGCTTTACTTTGTAAACACGCTATCAAGAACTTCCCCCGCTCATTCCCTAGAATCATACCAAGGAGGTTTCAATCCTCTTTGACCATACACTAATACAGAGAGAGAAAGAGTGGGGGCTGCTTTCAGATCAAGGTGAGGATGCCTGGCATACTTTCCCTGGTAACCATTTTGTAGCCTATATGATGGTACAATGGTACACCTAATGCATTCTATGAGTACATTTGAAGCTGTGCTTTAACCCTTGAAACTTTTTTGTAGACTGAGTATGAATAAGAGCTTTTCCTCTAGTGTTGCACTGTCTTGTCAGCTCATCTGGATTTGAAGTATTTCTGATATGCTTCTATCTTTTGATTTATTTATGTATTAAAATTTTCTACATACATGGAAATCATGGTGGAACAGGTGGACATAAGGACACCTTTTCACAGCCACCATGCCGACAAGGTCATACAAGTGCATAAAGATACAATACAATATCATATACATGGCATAACATTATAATTAGATGAAAACATTAAGTACACTTAACGAGGCCTAGTAGCAAGTTGGTACAGCCACAAGGCAGTATCCACGAACAAATCTACGCTGTTAAATCTATTAAACATAGTTGACTGTGACTTCCTTTTGAAGGCCGCCACGTCAGTCGGACTATCCGCTTTGGCCCCAGCCCTCTGGTTTCTACATCCAGTTTGTTCCAGATTATTATGAGACGTGGTACGAAGGAGGAAGCGAATGATTATGTTTTTTTCTCTCAGTGGCACTAACAGTGGGCCCTAGAGCTACTCTAGACGACAAGTTGGCTACCCTCGTTATGTCTGTATCGTACAATTTTACACGGGACTTAAACAAATGCTACCACATCAGACTAGATATCTTCCTTCTGTAAGACAGAGGCAGCCAACCCAAACAGGATAGACGTTACTTGTACGTAGTCAAGATGCCCAACGGAGGGCCCTAGAATTAAGGAGGGCACTGATGTAATGAAACATGCAATTCAGCCTCCGGGCTCAATAAACCAGTCATCAAACAGGATAGACGTGCCTTGTTGTAGTCGAGATGCCCAATGGAAGTTCTTAGAATGAATTTCGAAGTCCTCCACTGGACACCCTCGATAAGGGCAGTGAGATTACGCCATGTAGGGCTCCATAGTGGAGATAGAGCAATATTCCAGCACATGCACTTCTGAAAAGAGAAAGGTGCAGCGTTTTCCGGATGTCTGGCTTCAAGAAGTTCCAAATGGATTACAAAATGTGCCAGCTCTGTTTCACGGCCAAAAGGTGCAAAGCGTCCAACAGGTGGTTGTGTGTGTGCACCTGTTTTTGTCATAGTCTTAGATGGAAACACACAATTCTAACATTTAAGTTTATAACAAAAAAGAACAGATAGATAAATGTTTACTTCTTTACTGACATGCATACTGTTGTTAGTTAACTTGACTATATTGACGTCCACACACAGGCACAACGAGGGAAGACTTTATTGGGTCTGTACTTTTTTCTACACATGTTCTACTGCGGCTGACGGGACATACATGTAAGTACATGTTTATTACTTAGTTAGACTCCTTTCGTTCCGTTGTTATAATGAGTGCCATATTTGATTGTCATGCATGGTAACAGAAATCAGTTGGAATATGTGTATTTTGGGCGTCCCAAGGTCTATCTATCTGTGTTTGTCATACTTTTAATTCCAGTGCATGCATTGGTCATCACGGTGCTTTAAACGTCTTGTTCACATGGCGACTGAACGTTTAAGAGTATTTCTAATATTGCTTGTTCAATGGTTCCTACACTTGTCTGGTGATGACCACATACCCGGGTCCGTCGTTTGCCCCATCCTGACCGCTCATGTCAGTACCGGAGTTAAACGAACCGCCTCCTCCTCCGCCATTTGGGATAATGTTCTCTCCCCTGCCTCCCCCTGAGTACCCCCCTCCCCCACCTCCTCCACCACCAGCCCCTTCACTCCCTCCCCCTCCACCAAACCCACCATCAGCATTATTACATCTCCCACGCCCTCCAACCCCGCCATTCACAAACGCCTTCCCACCTTCCCCACCGTGATCACAACTGTCGCCTCCAAACCATTTAGAACTCCCTCCATCCGTCAGAAGCCCTCCCCCTCCCCCGCCCATCCAGTCATCCTTCCATTCTGTCGCCCCCTGTCCGTTAGATCCTCCACTACAACCGGTTCCTCCATAACTCTTATTACCAGTAGTGGACACAGTTCCGTCACACAGGGGGTTATGGGTGGTTCCATACCCCACCCCTCCCCCACCCCCGGCAATAATGAGTGGCGTGTTGTCTCCCCTGGTGACAAATGTACCGCCCCCTCCTCCTACACTCTGGCGAGCCGTGTTCTCAGCACCTTCTTGTCCCACCAGGATCTTCAGAGTTTCACCTGTTACACATAAAATCTTCATCAGTAATAATCATTCCAGGTCTTCCTCATCGGAGAAAGTTACTGTTTTACAAAACTCTTTTCATCAATGATTACACTTCATTAATTTTGTGATATCAATGCAATGCATGAGTTGAGGAATTTTAGTAAGGTGTATTTTGTTTTTGTTTATTTTTAGTTCAAAACTGAATGGATTTCCAAGTGCCTCTGTAGCTTGAAAATTTCGCACCTTGTTTGAGGTTAAATGTTCCCCTCAGTACGGCACCCCGTCCTCGGACGGACTTCGGGTTCTCCACACCCCACCCTGCAGCAGCACCTGTCAATCAAACATGTAAGGCACTTGACAGTAAATGACAAACAACAAGAAGATTTGAAATGGTGCACAGTTGCTACCATGTCAAACATATAAAACGAATGAACTGAATATAGAACAAACGCATATCTACAAATGTCTTCAAATTCAGACACCGATAGACACAAAGAGCAAGGCTGTTATAAGGCTGTTATATCGGCTATCATAATAGTCCCTACCCGCTGCCTCTATGCTGTACGTTCCCGTCCCCGGTACAGTGAAGTGTTGTATCCCGTCATGTAGCGTCACCAGGTGTTCATGGTCCTGTCCCCTGTAGTGGGTACCCAGGGTACTGGAGCCCAGACGGCCGCTGGCGCCCAGGGCGGTCAACTTGGCAATACGGAAGGAAGAATCTGGAAAAAGTAGGTTAATGATACATCTTTTGTCTGGGGAATCAATTTTCTTCATATATTCAACAGAGCTGACTGTAAACTATGTGACGTCAGTACTTACCTCGAGTGATAGGGCCTGGACGGCCTCTGGCTCTGTCCTGAACAGCTTTGAACGTGGTCGTGGTCTGTTTTTTCCTTGCTTCGGAGTACCAGGGTGATCTGGAAAAAGGTATGGGTCATTATTTTGAATCCGATGTGTAACTAAGGCCATGTTGATTTGATTATATGGATGACATCCACGCGCGCATAAATTTTCGGCCGTTTCCAAAAAAAAAAACATACTGTAAATCGTACAAAACAGTTGCAAAATGAGCAAAAATATACCATAAGTTACAAAAAAAATTAATAAAAACTATACCAATGTCGTAGAATGCCAAAATCAAACGAAAAAAGACGAAATTGTAAAGAAATGAACTTGAAAACTAGATTATTCGCCAAAGCCTATTCTGTGCCATTTACTCAACCCTCATGACCACGTAGATTTCATAATGAAAAAAAACTTTTTTTTTTTGCAAAACTTTTTTTTATTCGCACGCGCGCATCAGTTTTGGGGCTCCCGGAGGATGTCATCCATATAATCAAATCAACATGGCCTAACAGAATACTGAAGATCACTACCGTGACCAAGAAGTACTTGAATACATAGTTTCACAACACGTTTCGTACTAATGCTAAAACATACCGACAACGTCGCCAAGGATGATTTCCCTTTTTTTCCGTTCTGTCTTTGGATCAAACCTGACGTAACTGATGTCGTCAGGAATGTCCGGGGTTGGACCTTTCAGCAGAGACTCGAGCCGGGCCGTGACGTCACAGTACACGTTCATGACGTCAAAGTCACTGCCATGCTCCACGACTTTCTGTGAGAAGTCCACTGTGCTGGACAGACAGCCTAAGGTGCTCTCAACACTGTCTGCTGTAGCAGAGAGCTGCTTGGAACGGGCTGCTGTGACGGCCGCTAACGTTTCTTTCAGTTCAGTCTGTTTGCGTCTGACCAGGCCAGTGTAGTACTTGATCTCTTCCTCCGCAGCTGCATCGATGTCGTCTGCAGCTTTCTTACTCCTGGTGTCCAGTGCTGCTTGTTTTGTGGCTGTGGCCTTTGCAGCGTCTCGGTATTCTTTAATTTTCGGTCTGGCAGCTTCCAGGTCGCCTTTGATCTTTGCCCTAACGTCACGCACAACGTCTGCCAACAAGCTGTACTTGTGGTCTTTGTGCTGCAGTACCGTGCAGTCTCGGCAGATGGGGCTCTGACACGTCTCACAGTAGAACTTCAGCTTCTCGTCTTCATGTTTTGGACACATCGGCAGTGATCTTGACTTGACCGATGACGTCTTGGTGATCAGTTGCTCTTTTAGTTCTGCCACTCCGATGACTTCATGGTCACGTGTACGTTTGCCGCGGCGGTGGACTCTACCACATTCTTCACACAAGAACTCTTCACAGACAACACAGCCGAAATTAGCCACATGTTCTTCGCAGTTGTCACAAGTCACTTTGTCATCCTCCTTGCTAACCAAACTCTTGTGAGCGTCGACGGTGTCCCTCAAGCTCAGGACAAAGAAGTTGTTTTTGAGCCCGGCGACTCCGCCCTCCGGAAGTACAGTTTCGATCCGACATGTTGGACACGGAAACCTGTCCTTTACTTTACTTTGTTTCGCTACAAACTTCTCCAGACAGTCCTTACAGAAGGTGTGAAGACACGGCAGGATTTTGGGGTCCTTATAGGGCTCCAGGCAGATCGTACACTCCAGAAAGTCGCCCGAAATCTGGTTGACTACGGCCTCCACCATGACCGCACCTGTATGCTTTACGTAGTAGTAAGGGAATGACCTTCTCACCTGCCAGTGGGGACTCCTGGCGATCCAAATTATTTTGCCCCTACTTGATCCGGACTTTCCTGTTTTGTACCGTATGTCACCCCGGCTCTATCCATAACTAGTAGGCGGCCGAGTTTTTGTTGAAACCGGCGTTACTTTGTAAACACGCTATCAAGAACTTCACCCGCTCACTCCCAAGAATCATACCAAGGAGGTTTCAATCCTCTTTAAGCATACACTAATACAGAGAGAGAGAGAGAGAGAAAGAGAGAGAGGGGGAGAGAGGGACAGAGAGCTGCTTTAAGATCAAGGAGACCTGCTTTCAGATCAAGGTCATAATGTCTGGCATATTTTCCCTGGTAAGCGTTTTGTAGCCTATATGATGGTACAATGTACACCTAAGGCATTCTATGAGTACGTTTGAAGCTGTGCTTTAACCCTTAATTTTAACTTTTTTTGTCGACTGAGTATGGATACCTAGTAAAAGTTTTCCCTCTAGTACCGCACTGTCTTGTCGGCTCATCTGGATGTGAAATATATGTATTGTTTGGGCAGCCAGCCCAAGCAATATATCATGTATATAATGTAATATGTAGAGATCGCAATTCAATCCTAGCTAGATATTTTAAAGTTGTTATGGTGGGCACTGATGTAATGAAACATGCAATTCAGCCTCCGGTCTGCAAAATGTCTTTAATCAATAAACCAGTCATCAAACAGGCTAGACGTGCCTTGTAGTCGAGATGCCCAACGGAGGGCCATAGAATGAATTTCGAAGCCCTCGCGGCTAGCTGGACACCCTCGATAAGGGCAGTGAGATTACGCGATGTAGGGCTCCATAGTGGAGAGCAATATTCCAGCACACTTTTGACATGAGAAAGCTACAGCTTTTTCCGGATGTCTGGCTTCAAGAAGTTCCAAATGTATTACAAAATGTGCCAGCTTTGTTTCACGGCCAAAAGGTGCAAAGCGTCCAACAGGTGGTTGTGTGTGTGCACCTGTTTTCGCCAGTCTTAGATGGAAACACGCAATTTTAACATTTAAGTTTATAACAAAAACAGATAGATAAACATTTACTTCTTTACTGACATGCATACTGTTGTATTGACGTCCACACACGAGCACAACGAGGGAAGACTTTATTAGGTCTGTACTTTTTTTTCTACACATGTTCTACTGCGGCTGACGGGACATACATGTAAGTTCATGTTTATTACTTACACTCCTTTCGTTCCGTTGTTATAATGAGTGCCATATTTGATTGTCATACTGTACATACAAAACCTACTTCATGCATGGTAACAGAAATCAGTTGGAATATGTGTAATTTGGGCGTCCCAAGGTCTATCTATCTGAAGAGAACTGTGTTTGTCTTTGTCATATTTTTGATTCCAGTGCATGCATCACGGTGGTTTTAAACGTCTTCTTGACATGGCGACTGAACGTTTGAGAGTATTTCTAATATTGTTCAAATGGTTCCTACACTTGTCTGGTGATTATCACATACCCGGGTCCGTCGTTTGCCCCATCCTGACCGCTCGTGTTAGTACCAGAGTTAAACGAACCTCCGCCTCCTCCGCCATTTAGGAAACAACACTCTCCCCTGCCTCCCCCTGAGAACCCTCCTCCCCCACCGCCTCCTCCACCTTTTCCACAACTCCCTCCCCCTCCACCAAACCCACCATTAGCTCTATAATCTGCCCCCTCCCCTCCAACCCCGCCATTCACAAACGCCTTCCCACCTCCCCCACCGTGCTCACAACTGTCGCCTCCAAACCATTTAGAACTCCCTCCATCCGTCAGCAGCCCTCCCCCTCCCCCACCTATGTGGTCACTCTTCCATTCTGTCGCCCCCTGTCCGTTAGATCCTCCGCTACAAGTTTCTCCATAACTCTTGTTACCAGTAGTGGACACAGTCCCGTCACACAGGGGGTTATGGGTCAGTAGTCCAGCCCTTCCCCCACCCCCACCCCCGGCTATAATGAGTGGCGTGTTGTCTCCCCCGGTGACAAACGTACCACCCCCTCCTCCTATATCTTGGGTCTCCCAACTCTCATCACCTTCTTGTCCCACCAGGATCTTCAGAGTTTTACCTGGTATGTAGAAAATCTTCATCAGTTATAACACACAGGAAAGTCTATTGCAAGTTCCTGACATGACAAATAAAGGATGGACAACAGGATGGGTAACAATATAGCATGTGACTACTCTAAGTACTAAACACTGCCTGCTCTCAGCACCTTCTAGTCCCATTAGGATCTTCAGAGTTTCTTCTGTTATAGAGAAAATCTGTAATCAGTAATAAATAATCGTTCTAAGTCTTAATCATCGGGGAAATCATGATGCATAATTTAATATATAAGTTACGAGATTTTAGTCATATTTGGTTGGTTGTCTTTAGTTTGAAAATCGAACGTTTAAATACAAATGTTTCCGTAGCTTGAAATGTCGCACCTTGTTTGAGGTTAAATGTTCCCCTCAGTACGGCACCCCGTCCTCGGGCGGACTTTGGGATGTCGTTACCCCTCCCTGCAGCAGCACCTGTCAATCAAACATGTCAGGCACTTTCAGTAGCCGATTGAATGACAAACAACAGGGACAATCAAATAGAAGACATAGAATATTGAATAGAAAACTTTTACTTGTTTGTGAGTTAAAAAGTTGAGCCACAAGATTGCTTTACCTTACCGGTGAACAAAATGTGCTTTTGTTGGAATAGAATGTCAATAGATGTAAATCTCGAGATCTCAAATCAATGCTGCAAAACATAGTATCTATTATGTCTTCTACAAATAAACGTCCCCACCCGCTGCCTCTATGCTGTACGTTCCCGTGCGCGGTACAGTGAAGTGTTGTATCCCGTCATGTAGCGTCACCAGGTGTTCATGGTCCTGTCCTCTGTAGTGGGTACCCAGGGTAGTGGGGCCCCGACGGCCCCTGGCGCCCAGGGTGGTCAACTTGACATTTTGGAAATAAGAATCTGAGGGGATAGAAGTTAATTTTGCAACATTTATCACTCATAAATGATTAGAAATGTGTATATTATTGAGCTGTTTAAGACGATATGTCTATACACTGGAAGGAAACGTACCAATAATGTCTCCAAGAATGATCTCTTTTTGCTTTCGTTCCTTTCTACGATCAAACCTGACGTAACTGATGTCGTCAGGAATGTCCGGGGTTGGACCTTTCAGCAGAGACTTGAGCCGGGCCGTGACGTCAGAGTACACGTTCATGACGTCAAAGTCACTGCCATGCTCCACGACTTTCTGTGAGAAGTCCACTGTGCTGGACAGACTCTCAATCCTGTCTGCTGTAGCAGAGAGCTGCTTGGAACGGGCTGCTGTGACGGCCGCTAACTTTTCTTTCAGTTCAGTCTGTTTGCGTCTGACAAGGCCAGTGTAGTACTTGATCTCTTCCTCCGCAGCTGCATCGATGTCATCTGCAGCTTTCTTATTCTTGGTGTCCAGTTCTAGTTGCTTATTGGCTGAGTCACTTGCAACATCTCGATATTTGAACATTTTCTGCCTGGCATTTGCGAGTTTGTTTTTTATTTTTGCCCTGACGTCACCCACAACGTCTGCCAGCAAGCCATACTTGTGGTCTTTGTGCTGCAGATCATTGCAGTCTCGGCAGATGGGGCTCTGGCACGTCTCACAGTAGAACTTCAGCTTCTCGTCTTCATGTTTTGGACACATCGGCAGTGATGTCGACTTGACCGATGACGTCTTGGTGATCAGCTGCTCTTTTAATTCCGCCACTCCGATGACTTCATGGTCACGTGTACGTTTGCCGCGGCGGTGGGCTCGAACACATTCCTCACACAAGAACTCTTTACACACAACACAGCCGAAATTAGCCACATGTTCTTCACAGTTGTCACAAGAAACTTTATCATCCTCCTTGCCAACCAAACTCTTGTGAGCGTCAACGGTGTCCCTCAAGCTCAGGACAAAGAAGTTGTTTTTGAGCCCGGCGACTCCGCCCTCCGGAAGGACAGCTTCGATCCGACATGTTGGACACGGAAACTTGCCCTTTGATTTACTTTGTTTCGCTATAAACTTCTCCAGACAGTCCTTACAGAAGGTGTGAAGACACGGCAGGACCTTGGGGTCCTTGTAGGGCTCCAGGCAGATCGTACACTCCAGAAAGTCGCCCGAAATCTGGTTGAGTACGGCCTCCGCCATGACCACACCTGTATGCTTTACGTAGTAGTAAGGGAATGACCTTCTCACCTGCCAGTGGGGACTCCTGGCGATCCAAATTATTTTGCCCCTACTTGATCCGGACTTTCCTGTTTTGTACCGTGTGTCACCCCGGCTCTATCCATAACTAGTAGGCGGCCGAGTGTTTGTTGAAACCGGCGTTACGTTGTAAACACGCTAACAAGAACTTCCCCCGCTCACTCCCAAGAATCATACCAAGGAGGTTTCAATCCTCTTTGACCATACACTAATACACACACACAGAGAGAGAGAGAGAGAGAGAGAGAGAGAGAGAGAGAGAGAGAGAGAGTGAGAGTGAGAGTGAGAGTGTGTGTGAGAGAGAGAGAGAGAGAGAGAGAGCTGATTCCAGATCAAGGAGAGCTGCTTTCAGATCAAGGTCAGGATGTCTGGTAACCGTTTTGGAGCCTATGTGATGGTTCAATGGAATACCTAAGGCATTCTATGAGTACATTTGAAGCTGTGCTTTAACCCTTTTAATTTTTTGTCGACTGAGTATGAATAAGAGCTTTCCCTCTAGTACCGCACTGTCTTGTCAGCTCATCTGTATTTGAAGTATTTCTGATATATGCTTCTATCTTTTTATCTCTATTTATGTATTAAACATTTCTACATACATGGAAATCATGGTGGAACAGGTGGACATAAGGACACCTTTTCACAGCCACCATGTCGACATGGTCATGCAAGTGCATAAAGATAAAATAAAATATTATATACATGACATTACAGTATAATAAAATGAATACATTAAGTGCAATTAACGAGGCCTAGTAGCAAGGTAGGTGGTACAGCCACAAGACAGTATCCACGAACAATGTCTACGCTGTTAAATCTATTAAACATAGTTGACTGTGACTTCCTTTTGAAGGCCGCCACGTCAGTCGGACTATCCGCTTTGGCCCCCAGCCCTCTGGTTTCTACATCCAGTTTGTTCCAGATCATCATGAGACACGTGGTACAATTATCATGTGGTCCAATTATCATGAGACACGTGGTACGAAGGAGGAAGAGCTGCGAGGAACTCTAGACGAGAAGTTGGATAGCCTCGTTATGTTACACTATTGCACGGGACTTAAACAAATGCGACCACATCAGATGAGATATCTTCCTTCTGTAAGACAGAGGCAGCCAGCCCAAACAGGCTAGACGTTACTTGTACGTAGCCGAAATGCCCAACAGAGGGCCCTAGAATGAATTTCGAAGCCCTCCGCTGGACCTCCTCGATAATAGCGGTGAGATTACGCGATGTAGGGCTCCATAGTGGAGAGCAATATTCCAGCACACTTCTGACATGAGAAAGGTACAGCTTTTTCCGGATGTCTAGCTTCAAAAAGATCTAAATGGATCATAAAATGTACCAGCTCTGCTTCACGGCCAAACTGCACAAAGCGTCCAACAGGTGGTTGTGTGTGTGCACCTGTTTTCGCCGTAGTCTTAGATTGAAACACGCAATTCTAACATTTAACTTTATAAAAAAAAATAGATAAATGTTTACTTCTTTACTGACATGTATACTGTTGTTAACTACATTGACGTCCACACTCGAGCACAACTAGGGAAGACTTTATTAGGTCTGTACTTTTTTTTCTACACATGTTCTACTGCGGCTGACGGGACATACATGTAAGTACATGTTTATTACTTACACTCCTTTTGTTCCGTTGTTATAATGAGTGCCATATTTGATTGTCATACTGTACATACAAAACCTACTTCATGCATGGTAACAGAAATCAGTTGGAAGATGTGTGTTTTGGGCGTCCCGAGGTCAATCTATCTGAAGAGAACTGTTTTTGTCATATTTTTAATTCCAGTGCATGCATTGATCATCACGGTGGTTTTAAACGTCTTCTTGACATGGCGACTGAACGTTGAGAGTATTTGTAATATTGTCCGTTGGTTCCTACACCTGTCTGGTGATGACCACATACCCGGGTCCATTGTTTGCCCCATCCTGACCGCTCGTGTCAGTACCGGAGTTAAACGAACCGCCTCCTCCTCCGCCATTTGGGATACAATTCTCTCCCCTACCTCCCCCCGAGTACCCCCCTCCCCCACCTCCTCCACCACCAGACCCATGACCCCCTCCCCCTCCACCAAGCCCACCATCAGCATTATTACATTCCCCACGCCCTCCAACCCCGCCATTCACAAACGCCTTCCCACCTTCCCCACCATTCTCACAACTGTCGCCTCCGAACCGTTTAGAACTCCCTCCATCCGTCAGCAGCCCTCCCCCTCCCCCACCCATGCCGTTACCCTTCCATCCTGTCGCCCCCTGTCCGTTAGATCCTCCACTACAACCAGTTCCTCCGTAACTCTTGTTACCAGCAGTGGACACAGTTCCGTTATACAGGGGGTTATGGGTGGATCCATACCCTGCCCCTCCCCCACCTCCGGCGATAATGAGCGGCGTGTTGTCTCCCCCGGTGACAAACGTACCGCCCCCTCCTCCTACACTCCAGTTAGCCGTGTTCTCAGCACCTTCTTGTCCCACCAGGATCTTCAGAGTTTCACCTGGTATACAGAAAATCTTCATCAGTAATAATCATTCTAAGTCTTCCTGATCAAAAAAAGTTACTGTTTTACAAAGCTCTTTCCATCATTGATTACACTTCATTAACGTTGTGATATCAATGCAATGCATACGTTGATAAATTGTCGTAAGGTGTATTTTGTTTTTGTTTATTCTTAGTTCAAAACTGAACGGATTTCCAAGTGCTTCCGTAGCTTGAAATGTCGCACCTTGTTTGAGGTTAAATGTTCCCCTCAGTACGGCACCCCGTCCTCGGGCGGACTTCGGGTCATGCACACCCCACCCTGCAGCAGCACCTGTCAATCAAACATGGCAGTCACTTGACGGAAAATGACAAATAACGAGAAGAATGAAATGACTTGTTTGTGTGTAAATGAATAGATTGAGCTGCTATTCAAGACTGTTCTAAGCTAACTTGCTATTCAAGACTGTTCTAAGCTATTCTTGTACATTATTTTGAATAAAACAAACGTAATGCCCTCAAAATTACATCGATAGACACAAAGAGGATGGCTGTTAAAGGCTGCTATATTGGCATATGTCATAATAGAGGCCCCCACCCGCTGTCTCTATGCTGTACGTTCCCGTCCGCGGTACAGTGAAGTGTTGTATCCCGTCATGTAGCGTCACCAGGTGTTCATGGTCCTGTCCCCTGTAGTGGGTACCCAGGGTAGTGGGGCCAAGACGGCCGCTGGCGCCCAGGGTGGTCAACTTGGCAGTACGGAAGGAAGAATCTGGAAAAAGTAGGTTAATGATACATCTTTTGTCTGGGGAATCAATTTTCTTCATATATTCAACAAAGCTGATTGTAAACTATGTGACGTTAGTACTTACCTCGAGTGATAGGGCCTGGACGGCCTCTGGCTCTGTCCTGAACAGCTTGTGTGGCCGTGGTCTGGTTTCGTCCTTGCTTCGGAGTACCAGGGTGATCTGGCAAAAGGTATGGGTCATTATTTTGAATCCGATGTGCAACTAACAGAATACAAGATCAATATCGTGACCAAGTAGTACTTGACTACATGGTTTCACAACTTAACAAGTTAGTATGAATGCTAAAACATACCGACAATGTCGCCAAGGATGATTTCCCTTTTCCCCCCTTTCTTCCTAGGATCAAACATGACGTAACTGATGTCGTCAGGAATGTCCGGGGTTGGACCTTTCAGCAGAGACTCCAGCCGGGCCGTGACGTCACAGTACACGTTCATGACGTCAAAGTCACTGCCATGCTCCACGACTTTCTGTGAGAAGTCCACTGTGCTGGACAGACAGCCTAAGGTGCTCTCAACACTGTCTGCTGTAGCAGAGAGCTGCTTGGAACGGGCTGCTGTGACGGCCGCTAACTTTTCTTTCAGTTCAGTCTGTTTGCGTCGGACAAGGCCAGTGTAGTACTTGATCTCTTCCTCCGCAGCTGCATCGATGTCGTCTGCAGCTTTCTTACTCCTGGTGTCCAGTTCTGCTTGCTTCTTGGCTGTGACACTTGCAGCGTCTCGGTATTCTTTAATTTTCGGCCTGGCAGCTTCCAGGTTGCCTTTGATCTTTGCCCTGACGTCACTCACAACGTCTGCCAACAAGCCGTACTTGTGGTCTTTGTGCTGCAGTACTGTGCAGTCTCGGCAGATGGGACTCTGGCACGTCTCACAGTAGAACTTCAGCTTCTCGTCTTCGTGTTTTGGACACATCGGCAGTGATCTTGACTTGACCGATGACGTCTTGGTGATCAGTTGCTCTTTTAATTCCGCCACTCCGATGACTTCATGGTCACGTGTACGTTTGCCGCGGCGGTGGCCTCGAGCACATTCGTCACACAAGAACTCTTCACAGACAACACAGCCGAAATTAGCCACATGTTCTTCACAGTTATCACAAGTCACTTTGTCATCTTCCTTGCTAACCAAACCCTTGTGAGCGTCGACGGTGTCCCTCAAGCTCAGGACAAAGAAGTTGTTTTTGAGCCCGGCGACACCGCCTTCCGGAAGTACAGTTTCGATCCGACATGTTGGACACGGAAACTTGTCCTTTACTTTACTTTGTTTTGCTACAAACTTCTCCAGACAGTCCTTACAGAAGGTGTGAAGACACAGCAGGATCTTGGGGTCCTTGTAGGGCTCCAGGCAGATCGTACACTCCAGAAAGTCGCCCGAAATCTGGCTGAGTACGGCCTCCGCCATGACCACACCTGTACACCTTACCTTGTTTGCCTAACAGACTGAGCTATGAGGAAATGAACTTTGGTCACCTGTCAATGAGGACCCCTAGCGATCCTAATTATCTTTGCCCCTAGTTGCTGGATGCTGGTTTCCCTAGCATAACTTCTGCAGCCTTTCTTGGGCTGTCAACCCCCCCCCCTCCACACACACACACACACACCAACCATACACCACCGCGCTTGCACAAACACAAACACAGACACACATACACACTCACAGACGCACACACTCACACAGTATATCTGTCATAACGTTAGTGACACAACACCACCCACTGTACAATGTGAGATGTTTATTTCCAACTGTTGGTACAAGAGTCTCCCACAAAGGTGGAAGTACAGGTTAGATAGAGGTGTACAAAATTGGTCCAAAGGTAACCACGGCTGTCAGTCTGTCAACAGGACAACAAAAACAAGGCTGCTACATATGTTTTGGTGTTATGAGCTTGGATATAGGCAATTGGCAGTCGTACTGTACAAATGTTTAGTAAGATCTGGCTTACAGCATGTATCAAGATCAACAGTCACTACTGAAAAACATCCGATCACTGTGCTCTGGTACTGTCACTACTGGACAGTGTCATATCAGAATCATATGAGACTTAACCTCCTCAATGCTGCCTCACACTGTAACCAACACAAATCTGATACAGCAAAAGGCTACCATAGCACTGTAGTTCTGAACATTGTCTCAATTTCCTATGCTCCAACATGGCCTCTACATATCAGCTTACCTGAGGTGTTATCCTTCTCATAGTCAGTTCCATCAAGTAAATAAAAATGATAAAGATTCTTGATTCTTTTGTACAGAACTAAAACTAAACTAAAGTTTTATTGTTATTATTAGTATGATGAATTTTTTACCCTTTATCTTATTGTTGCCTTCTACTTGCACTTCTTTCTATAACAGCCCTAGATATGTACATAATGCACAAAGATTTAACAGAAATTTAAAGTGGACAGATTTGGACATAAGCAACATGTTATCACTCTCTGGGTACAGATATTGTATCTCTCTTTTTTTGCTGTAAAATACTCCAGATTGCAAGTCCCCCGGATGGTAATGTATATCTTCAGGTCTGTGTACACTTTCAACAAGTCGCATATGAGCTCTCAACATTAGCTGTTGATGAAAATTTATTCTTGCCGTTGCTTAAGTTTATGATATTAGGGAAAGTTGAGGTTTTCGTGGTGTTTTGAAGCCGCGGCTGAATCAATTCTGAAGACCTAATAAAGCACTTTACAAAGCTGATATGGCTCTAAAACTAAAGAACAATAGCGGTAAATATTCTGATATTCTCTATGGCGATGCTACAACTTCTTTGGACGTGGACACATACAAAACTACATCTTCCTGCTTTCTCAAACATAGAATACTTATATGTGTATGGGTCAACTAATTTGCTTTGGCATAACTACAGTCCTTGTTCATATGATGTGGGTTATTTAATACAAAGCCTTTGATTTAGAGCATCTTTCTAAATATGTTATGTTGGGGAGGGGGGTCCCCTGACTTAGTATTGGTACATGTATATGAACTATATGTGCAATGTGCAAAATTATGAAATCTGTTTTTCTCAAACAATGTTAGGTACTAAGAGGTAGGACCTTGGAGAAAGTCATTTTTGACTGTGACGACACCTTAACATAACAGTTATAGTTTTGTATAACATTTGGTAGCATTGTAATTATTGTGCTCCTGGTTATAATACATAGCCAAAGCATAATGTTCAACTTAACATTTTTATGGAGTGAGAATGATGAAGAGTTTTTCCTCTAGTACCACACTGTCTTGTCAGCTCAGCTGGATTTGAAGTATTTCTGATATTCTTTTAGCTTCAAAAAGTTCAAAATGGTTTATCAGCTCTTAAAGCAAATTCAAGATCCTTTTATCAAGACATTTTTGCTGGCCCCAGGCCAGACATCCTCGCTCAGCTTACAGCCAATTTTTTTTTTGAATCAGTTTTGATTTCATCGACCAAATCAGTATTTACAAGCCCTGGTTAAACTTCAGAACGAACACAAAAAAACTCTCAAAAATGGTGAAACAAATTTTTAGAGGGCTGTTTCTTCTTATTGGCTCACCACATAATGCTGTGGTATTCATGCTAAGTTAAATTTTAGGGTATATACGATGGGGAGGTACAAATGTCGTCTACAAAAGTATCACCGGAAATGGGCACAGGCACTAGTACAATAGTCAACACTTATCGTTGTCTTCTTACAAAGATAGAAAGGCTAGTTACACCGGATACTACCGCTGCTCCATCTTGTGTTTGGGAGGTTTGAACATGCGCGGAGGTTTCTTCTCTTTCTTGGCCTTTTTCTCCTTCTCTGGTTTGGGCTTGGTGGTCTGCTGCCAACTCCTCCAGCTGTCTACACGCTCCTCTCTCTTGGCCTGGTGAGAAAGTGTAACGGACGGTCGTAAGGTCAATTCTACCTAAACAGATGTGACCTGCTTTTTGCTGCTTTTAATTAAAAATAAAGTTAGTTAGTTGAGAACTCATCCGTGCGGCCTTGTGTTTCTGTGCCCTCCTCCTCTTCCCTTAGCAAAAGGAAGGAGAGTTTGGAAAGTTTGTTTTGTTTATGTGTTGTTTTCCATGACTGGTAATGCACCTTTAGGGGTTACACACCAGTTTTGTACAGAAGGTACAAGCTGCAAAAAACATGACTGTAAGCTTTGAACCACTCATGCTGAGATGGACCCATACTCTTTGCAATAAATGTGGTGGGTTCTTTAATGTGCTTGAGGTGGCTCTACTCAAAACCTAGACCTCTGGCTTTACGTCCCAGAGCCTATAATGTCGTGTGTAGTCATGCCTGTTTTGTTTTGTTACCTCTCAGAGGACATCTCTAACCAAAGCTAGGTAAGAAAGCAAAACAGTCATGACTACACTAGACGACATTTTTCTCTGATATACTCACCTCCCACTGTTTCTCCCACTCCTTCTGCCGTTTGGCCTTCTCTACTTCCTCTGCCTCCTCATCTGCTGCTCGTTTTCTACAACACAGGAAAAATCACATTTAATTGTAAGAACAATTACTGTTGGCTGTTTCATTTTCAGAATAGCTGCTAGTATTAGCTGTTTATTTCTAAAAACAGCTGCCAATGGCCTTTAGAGTTTCAGAAAAGCTGCCATTGGTTGCTTGTTTCTGAGAATAGTTGCCGTTGGCTGTTTACAGAATGGGCTCCCCTTTCTTTGAGGTGGGTAATCCACGTGGACGAGTGCACTCCAGAAGTTTGACATTCACCGATACCTTAGTTAGAGATACTGGAATCGACTTTGATGACTTAGAAAATGTAATGCTTGATAGGGCTGTATGGAAAGAAATCTGCACTAGCTTAGTCCCGGCTGTTAGCCGATAGATGATGATGATGAATCCTAAAAAGGATTCCAAGGGGCTTGGACTGTATAAGGTAGAGTGGATTCATTCCTCAAGCTTCTTCTTCTTCTTGGATGTCCATCGCGAAGCGATGATGACGTCAATGGCGTCTCAGGTGTGATCGCAGCCCAAATGCTGAGGCACAGGTCTAACACTGCTGTCGTCCCTCAGTAAGACATCTGGAGCTACATAGTTCCCACTTACTGAGGGACAGTGTTAGAGATGTCGGTTAGCTTAAGGAATGTATCAACACTACTGTATAGATGCCTTGGACAGTGTGAGTTGGTGTTCCCCACCTGAGGTCTGCCTCCCTCTGTTCCTGTTCCCTTCTCTTCCTCTCTCTGTCAGCAAACAGTTTACACATCATCACCCACAGGGCATGCTTGTACTGTGGACAACAAAGAACAATGGATTGTGAGCAGCATATATGCAACAATGTTAAAGTACAATGTATCTACATTCATACAGTATATCTGTTACATCGGCAGTCCCTAGCAAAGAGATGCTAGAGATGTACACAGACAGCACATTGTGTAAAACCTATTGTACTCTTTTCATTGTCAAGGAAAATGTTTTGTGTTTATCAATTGTATTTCTATAGTTTTCGTATCTTTAGTTTGTAGCTTTACTAGCTCACTGCAATGTGGTTATAATATGTACATGTACTATTTTCTATGAATAAACCAATTTACTGTGGTATTAAAAAGTAAGTAAAAACAGAAGGTGTGTTCATGTACCTTAGCTGGATCATCCTCCTCTACTGTACTGGACTTTCCTTCCTTCTTCAACTGTTTCCTCTTCTCTTTTATCTAAGAACATGAAGAAAGAAATTCCATAAAGACATATAAATTACATAAAGACAATATAAAAGAAGAAAAAGAATGGAGAATCCAGAGACTTGGCACAGAAATGAAAAACATTACAATTGTGATAATAACATCTTCTTGATTAGTTTTAATTGTAAATTGGTTAAAATTAAAGAGATGCAAAGTGTAAAAAAAACTGACCCTATTTTCCACATGTGCCTTGGCCTCCTCCACCACATCCATACACCTCCTCTTAGCATCCTCATTGTCCAGCATCTTGTACGCCTTGTTGACAGCTGGAGTAGAGGGAGGGGGGCAGAATACAAAAAGAAAATGCATCAAGGTCAAACTTTCAGAACTCTCCAGAATTCTTAGGCATTAAGACTGGAGATAATCGTCAGACTTACGTTTGAGAGGCAGGTATAGCTGCAGGCTGGATTTTGACATGGACAAACATGAATTGTGGTTAAAGCATGATACTTCATTCTAACCTCACACAACAAATACTAAATAAAACTGTGTGAACAAAGCGAAATTACACATTTTTATTTAAATATACTTGAAGGGGACCACTTAAAATTCTGTCTACAGTACCAGTATCTATACATTGTAAGTTTTCAACACTCTATTGTACAAAATGTATTTGTAAGATGACTAAAAATTGTTAAGACTATCAGACACATTGTTTAAGAAAGACATACACCTAAGAAATGTTACTACATTTTGTGTTTTAACTTAAAACTTTTCAACTCTTTATTGTAAAACCACTAACAACTGTCACATAGGCACTTTCAAGAAGAAAGAAAGTAACGAGGCTAGGAAATGTATCTATTTTTCTTTAGTTAGGCTGTAACTTTTCAACTCTCTATTATTGTAAGGCTCTTTTGTTTTCTCACCATCAAAAGCTGCCTCTGCCCTGTCATGGTCATCTGGGTTCTTGTCCGGATGGATCAGAATGGACAACTGTGGAGACAGGTACTAGTACATTAGAGACATATCAAGCGGATTTGCTGACATTTAGTCAATAGTCATATAAAAATATAAAATCAAGTCAATCTTTACCCATCTCACCAAAGACACGTTCAGTGCCAGGCACAGAAAAATCATGCTATTTCTTCTTTCTTGACTATACAATGTACTACAAGGTCTACTGAAGTCAGATAATCGTACATTGTGAAGTAAACATTGACTCACCTGTCTGTACCTTTTCTTCACATCAGCAGGTGAAGCATCAATATCTACCTGTAACACCTGAAACAATACATGTAGCACAACTTCAAATACAGAAAACTTTGAAGGAAGTCTTACTCGGCAAAATACAAGGTTCTTACTACTTCTTAGACTCCTTGACTTCAGTTTGAAGTACTTAATTCTTGACAGAACTATAATAATTTGTTTGTTAGTTTCATTTATCTATTTGTTTGTTTGTTTGTAAGTTGAAAGGAACTTCATAGAAGAGAACAATGCGGCAGGTTTGGGCTTGGACATTGATAATGATAGTTATAACTTATAGATACAACCTTTCCTATAAACTGAAGAACAAGTATAGCAAAACACATGTTTTAACATAGGTCCCTTCAAATAAAGAAGAATTTCACGCCTAAAATAAAAGAAAGGGAACACAAACCTCAAAAGGGTTGAGGTTGAAGTAGGTTGCCCCTGGCCTCAGGAGTCGGTCAATCTGCTGTTTGGACGTCAGAACAGAGTCTCTCACTTCAATCTCTTTCACCTGGAATAGAAAATAATTACGTTCACCGAAGGAAAACATCTGGTTTTTGCTCTGTTTCTTCTTCCTCCTCTTCTCCAAACAGTGACCTCTGACCTGGTCAATGACCTAAAGCAGACTGTCTCTTACCATGGTAACTGGTGTTGGGTTTCATCATGTTGCAATTTCATAGTAGGAGGGATTTAGACTGCTGTCACAGAGCAGAATGGGGAATGCCTGACTAAATCTGCGCTCCTAGCGGCCGGCCCCCAGGTGGCTGGTGTAATTCCGGGCCGGCCGCTAGGAGCGCAGATTTAGTCAGGCTAGCATTTGCTGTAATTACAGTAAATAGTCCAAAGTGGATTACATTCAAGTATGACTCGCTGTGACTAATGGAGTCATGTACTAGTATATGACACAGAGATATGTACTTTTAATTCAAATTTCCAAATTTAAAAACACTGGATTTCAAAAGGAAGTTCTTCTTTTTCAGCAGAATATCAAATCCCTTTTTTACTGTCACTTTCATAATCATATGTACTACAAGAACTAGTGATGCATACCGGTTCACTGGACTTGGATCCGGACTTGTAAGAATGTTTAGGTTCAAGTCCAAAAAAACCTAAAAGTCAAGAACCGAGTCCGGACTTATTACCATAAAAGACCATTTCACATACCCCATTTTTTTCAAACCACCTAAAACCTTCGGTAGATTGTAAAATCTTTGCTGCAGAATGAAGAAACATTGCCATCAGGTATCGTCAAGTGTCGGCCTCCATGTTATGTGGCCAAAGTTTCACCCAGACAACATTGCAAGTTGCCAACATGCATTATTTTTGTATATGCCATGGGTTTAGGTCCGGACTTACAAGTCCGGAACTGAACCTAAACCTCTGGACTTGAATCCGGACCTGAACCTAAAATTGGGTTTAGGTATGCATCACTAACAAGAACTGCTTTTTTCTCATTCCCACATACATATAAAATCATGTGTGGACAAGTACTAGAGATCAAGACGGTTATAAAAAAACCTCTTTGCAAAGATATTTACTTTAGGTTATATACTATACCTCCTTCAGTCAAGGACCGTTCAAGGAGGTTATAACCTCTTGTATAACTGTTACTATTACATAATGTATCTGATGTATGGAATGATGTAGTAATTCATTACATAACCTACAATAGATGTAAACAAAACCTTTCAAAAGCAAAATTCAAAGGTAAATTTAAAGGCCATGCACAACAACATGAGATTTGAGTGACAATAGACTTATTGTTGCTATGACCTATTTTTGCTTCCTGGAGTCGTTGTTGTTGAAAGCATGTGCACCACAGACAAAAACAAAACATCCAAGAATAAAGTTACAACGATCCTGAAACAGGCAAAAAAATCACAGAAGAAATTAAAAAAAGTTTCTTTACAATGTTTATCCTGTATAACAGATATTTGCAAAGCTAACAGTCAAAAGAACCGTATTTTTACCCTTTGATATGGTTCGTGCTAGTGAAATTTTATAAATCTCTGTTTTATGTGTCACAAAACATTGCGTGTTTTCCTCCAAATTTCACACAGAAATCCTCAGTGTAACCACAAACAAAGCTCCCCAGAGTGTAGAATAAGTTATGTAGGGCTTACCTCGGTCATAAACTGCTCTAAGACATGCTCTCCGGGCCCGGCATTGGCCGAAGAAGGTCCGGCACCGAACTGAGAACTCGCGTAAGCCGACATCTTGGGCTTCAAGGTCCCGCGTTCAGCTAGGGCTGTCCGCATATAAGATTGCCTGAATATATTATTTTGTGAAAATCAAATAACTCGCATGAAAATGAACGAATTTTATTAGAATTTGATGGTTTCGACTGAGAAATATATTTGGAGCATTCGTATGTTTTATTTGTGAGTAAATTTTCGTCAGAGAGGAAACAACAGTTTTGAGGAAGGCAGGCACTATTTAGATCTATTAGGACGACCGTTGGCAATCGAACAAGTTTCAAAATGGCTTCGCTGGTGTGCATGAAAAAGTCACTCGTGGTAGAAAGCGGCAATTCCTTCAAAGTGTACGACCGGTATGGCCAACACGACATCGTCTTTTCCCACAGTATTGTCTGCCAGGCTAAAGAGGAGAAGGAGAAGACAGAGGGGTCGAAGACTTCGGAAGAGAAGGGTGACGAAAAAGTGAAGGGGGAGGGGGGCGGTGAGGGGCAAGGTTCTGACAAGATCCTTGCACGTGCATGTTCAGTACCAGGTAGGTTACAGGTCCTTCAGTGATGGTTTTGATAATAAATTACATAGTCGTCAACCACAAAAATACTATAGCCTTCAAGTTTTCCACCTGTCCATTCAAGCATAACTGGTTGGAACGTGGAAGTATTGTTTTGGGCAGCAATATTCAATTTTTAGGGGGGATTGTGTTGTGACCTAGTATGCCCTGTTTGTTACCAGTAAGTTGTGGTTGCCAGGAATGTGTACTGTGTAATCATGATGTCAAATGGAGTACAAAAATGTAATAGAGGAATAAGTTATGCCATACGATCATCATACAAGCAATTATACATTCTATGATGTAATTCATGCAAACCATCTATTTCCTGGAAGTTTCATCTCTTGTTTTCTCTTGTTCACAGATGAGTACTTTGCAGTGGCCACAGACAATAAGGAGTTGATTCTGTGGAAGACCACGCCTACATGGAAGCACGTCAGCACTAGAACTCTCGCTCGCCGCTGCACAGCTCTGGTTTTTACCTTCAGGGGAGACACCATCCTCGCAGCTGACAAATCCGGCGACGTTTACAGCTTCTCGGTCTCGGATCCAGAAGCACCTGGTACACTACTTCTCGGCCACCTGTCCATGCTGCTCGACATTGCAATCAAAGATGACGACAGCTTTCTTGTCACGTGTGACAGGGACGAGAAGATTCGCATCAGCCACTACCCCAACACCCACAGCATCTATGGCTACTGTCTGGGGCACACTGAGTACATCACTGCCCTGTGTCTCTCGCCATATCCTGACGGGATCCTCCTCTCAGGTGGCGGAGATGGTACGGTCCGGGTATGGGACTGGCTGAAGGGTAAAGAGCTACACGTGGAACACCTGGCCAAGTTCTGCAGAGGACTGAAGGACAACAAACCGCCGGTGGTTTCAAAACTGGTCTGCAACTGGATCGGGAAGCTGGTAGCTGTGGTGGTGGAGGGACTGGACCAGGTGATTCTGTTTAAACTGCACACAGAGGTAGCACCGCATTTGGACGCACAGCTTATTGAGTCCGAACCTCTTGAATGTGAGGGTAAGGTATGGGACGTTGCCTTTGACCGTAATGGCTACCTCTGGGTGGCCCAGGCTGTGGAAGACAACACAGTACAGGTGTACAAATACATGCCCTCACATCTACCACTCATGTGCGCGAGCTCAGAGGAACAATTCACAGGAATCACCACATCTATCAACTCAGACTGGGACTTCTTTAAAAGCTCCCTCGGTGAGGAGACCATGTACAGTGGCTTGTACAAGAAGCACTTTGACAACCTGACTCCGTACTTCGAGAGGAAGGAAGAGAGGATGAAGGGAAAGAAGAGAAAGGAAGAGAAGACAAGTGACGAAGGAAGCAAGAAAGCCAGAAGCGAAGAAGTGGTTTAAGAACTGCTTGCAATAGAGTAGAAGGGGAAAGATACCACTTCTAAAACAGAATATTTATATTGATTGCTTATTTGTTACTGTATGTTCTACAACATATTTGTAGCAATGTTACAAGATCATATGTTATAATGTTAATGAGACTATATTGTCTCTCCTTGTATTGACACAAACAAAATACATACACTCCCCAAGACTTTCTTTGATTTTATTTGGAGAAGTTTACCAATACAAGTTAACTCTTTTGAACACATCAACTTTTAAGTTCATGGAACTACATGTAGAAATATATCAAACTTGTCCTATCAAAATTTGTCCTTTGTTATAATTATAATTATTTTACCAATATCACAAAGAATAATCATATGTAATGTGATATTACTTTTTTATTTTGATAACTAATTCTGATGATGAGACTTCATTTGACTGTATTGAATGTTACATTTTTATTTTCTCATAATATGCATTGCAATATGTACAATTTACATCAACTGTACTAAATTGATTAAATTTTGCCTCATCAGCTAATGTGTTATGACGCCTTCTTGAAAACAGAAACTATATGTAAAGACATCCAACATACATGTACAAAAATAACATACATCCCAGTGCCAAATCTATTCCTATTGGGGAGGTAATTAATTTGTACATAGTTATCCCCTATAGGATACATTGTGTACATTGCATGAGGTACAAGATTCATTTCAAGAGTTGTATTTGAGAAGTACTGCACCACACAAAAAGTCTACAAAACAGTGCTTTGAATAGTCATCATCTCTGAAAGGACAGTAGTCCTGCTTCCACCAACTTCCTGATTTTCTTCTGCATGTCTGGACCAGCAGACTGGGCATACCTACAGGACAAAAGAAAAGTTAGTCAGATTTCACTTTATTTTGGAACCTAACTTCCTGTGTACATGTCTGACTCTTTGCAGCCACTCGAACACAAACAACAAAATCCACACAAAACACACCCTTACAAAGAAACAAAAACTCTATACCCAGAAGGAATACATCAGTATAGATCACCTCTGTGCAGACTGAGGATCTGTTCTCAGCATCTGCAGTAGTTTCTGCACATCTTTGTCCAACAGAACCTGCTGCATCTCAGGGTTAGACAGGATCTCCCTCATCTTAGCCTCATCCTCTGCCGTGGGCTGGTTAGGATCTGTGCTCTTCAGGACCCTCATGTCTGCACCTGGAGGACTGGTGGTAGTCTGGACAGGGGGAGGCTGGACACTGTCCTGTGTGTCTGCTAGATTTGTGAAGTGGTCACCTGTAAAATAGCAGATATATGGTTAACTATGTTGTCAAGTAGTTACTTAGAGCATGTACAAAACACAAGTTGCACTCACTGTTTCAATACATAAGACAGAATAGTTGATGATCCTTCAGTGCTCAGAAGACTCACCTAAAATGGAACAGAATTCCGTGAAGAACTTTTGGACCTCTGGGTTGTCCCCGTATTCCTGCATGGCCAGGGCAGGGTTTCTCTGGAACTTGGCCAGAGCTTGTTGGAACCTGGGGTCCTCCATCTTAGATGTTAAGGATGAACTGGACTGGATTTTCTTCAAGAAGTCTTCTGTGACCCAGTCTGAGTATGGAGTACAAAGAAAATCAATGTCATGTAATTTTTTCCCTCTAGAAAAAATACACACATATAACTGAATTTGTACTTTAGAGCAATACCTAAAAAAGTAGACTGTATTGATTTTTAAAGCAAAACAATTATTGGTATTTTATGTCAGAAACGCACCCCTACAGCTACTAGCATTTGTTTACCTGTGTTTTTCTGAAGTTGTTCTGATGCAGTCTTCATAGCAGCCTGAACTTCTGGGAGCTCCAACCCTGTACCCTGTGGCTCCTTGGGCTTTAGAACAGGAATGTTGTCTACATGTTGTGCTTCAGTCTTTTTCTCAGCAGGTTTGCTTACAGGCTTCCTCTTGGGTTTTGCTCCTGATCCAAACAGAAATCCTTTCTTCATTCCTCCAAAGGTCTCTTTCTTCTCAACTGATTGTGATGATGCACCTTTGGACTGAAGGAAAGAAAAAACACTTAAACCTGCCATTAAGTTTTTTTGTTTCTTTGAAACATTCTTTATTCATGAGAAGCTCAAATCGGTCTGAGCCCTAAAGTTATGAAGTCAAAGTATGAAAGAGGGCACAATATTGCAATAAATCTGTGAATAGTTTCATCAGGTTGGTAAGTCACTGAGTAAAGAGACTCTTTTCACAAAACCAAGTCTTTTATTCAGCCGACATTTTGGTGACCGTCTGTCACCTTCCTCTGGGCAATTCTGACTGGATCTGACTTGTTTAATAATTTTTTAATGATAATCTAATTTTAAGTACTTACCACTTGGCCATCTCCCTTGCCATTACTGCTATCTTGACCTGAAGTAACCTTGCTGGAAGGTGGATTTGATGCTGTGGAATTGGAAAGACTTTTCCCCTCTCCAGACCCTGATTCGTTAATGCTCAGTCCTTTTGAGTCTGTCACTGTTTTCTTCTTGCCCTTCAACTCACTGATAGTGTTGATTCTCTCCACTAACTCTGACATGTCTTCAAGAGGAGGAATATCTGTGGTAAAGGCATATTATATAAGTAGTTACGAATTGAATACAGACAGAAGTGTGTTAAGTTTTGTGGCATTAGTACTGGCCCTTTATAATATTTGCCTTGTTATGACCGTTATATTTCTACCTATACAATATTTGGCGGGTCATTTTTACATAGCGTAACATATTTGGTGACTTGGAAACAGGTGTCAAAACATAGTCTGGCCTCTAGTGTAGCCGCGGCGACTGTTGCAGGGCTTCTCTTGCTTGCAGTCTTTTACATTAGCCCTAACAACATTAGCCCTGTTGTTAGGGCTAAATTATGTAAAAGACTGCAAGCAAGAGAAGCCCTGCAACAGTCGCCGCGGCTAGCCTCTAGTGCATAGTGTAGAATGTCAATTCTGATATTTTAAAGAGGACAACTGTAACAATACACACGTCAAAATGCAGATTCTATACAATACTTCATTTAGGTTTCTCAATTTTCCAAAATATGCGACAGAAAGCCGTATAAACATATGAAAAGTTTGAATTTTACCATCAAAGTCCGCCATGTTGACCGCACTGCCTTATGGGATAGCCTTCTAGCCGCTTCTCTTACGTCACTGGCCCCAGGTCATATCTTGTTGCCGAAACAAAGTAGTTCTGTTATTGAAAACTTTTCAATTTGTTCCTGTCAGAACAAAAATATGTGGTGAATTAAAAATGTATTGGTGGATATTAAATACGAATTGATACCATGGTTTTTGGCATAAAAAAAGTGTCCGTGTATGATTGTTATGAAACTATGCGGAGGGATATGACATGCTTTATCAGTGTGTGACGTAGGTTTTCTATGATCGTGGTGCGAAGGTGACCAGATCCTGAAGTTGCCGCGTTTTTAGGAAGAAAAATGTCTCTTTTGAGACATCTGGGGAAGTCTCTGCGGCCCGTGGTGGGGGCGAGGGCCACAGCGGTACCCACGGCGGGTTATCACGAGAATGTAAGTGTTGTCAGACGATTTTACGGCCCAAATGTTCGTGGGAATCGGTCAAGACTTCCTCCTCGACGTTTGTTTAGAAAGGGGAGGGGGGCGAAATGATGTCACTAACGGGAACAGTTTATAACAATGATATGGGTCTAGATGACCTACTTTTTCACAAGTTGCGTCACAAATTCTAATTTCATCATAAATTTTCCCCCTTTATTTTTGTTGACATAAAATGATGCATGGTCATGATATCATACTTTAATAGTCATACCTCATGGTTTGGCAAAGTCCAAACACACGCAAGTCCTCAACAGGAACGGTTGGTTAAAGATTTACCAGTGCCTAGATCTGTACATCACGATAAGATAGCAAGACAGACATACATGTCCCTCCATTTGGGGCAATGCACTAACGTGTACAGACCAGCTGCCCTCTTAAACAAACATAACTTGGACGAAAAAGAAGGAAAATCAGCATGACGATGCATAATAGTAGTTACGGCCTACAAAAATATGTGTAGTTGCAGAGTTGTTTTACATCGTACATGCATATCATTCACTGATGTTACTTATTGACATTACTTACTGACATTACTCTACTGACATTTACTGATATTACTGACATTACTTACTGACATTCTTACTGATATTACTTATTGACATTACTTACTGACATTCTTACTTATTGACATAACTTACTGATAATTTTTTTACTTATATTACTTACTTACACAATACTAAGCCCTGTGATATCAGTATGTAGAAAAAATCCCGTCTTCCCCCTGCAGGTAATTGACCATTATGAGAACCCCAGGAATGTCGGGTCAATGGACAAGAATGACAAGAAAGTGGGAACAGGACTTGTGGGAGCACCAGCTTGTGGGGATGTCATGAAGCTACAGGTAGGAACAGTGTCTTTTTTGATTCTGATGTCTATTTTATACAGTGGTTTATTAATATTGTTCAACCTTCACAGCAAGGGCAGCCCAACTAGCCAGTGGCTGTTACAAAGGGCTTGCCCTGCTGACAAGACATGACATAACACATTCAGGGAGTCTGAAGTGTTGGATTTCTTGTTTTTATCATATACATTTCAAACACTGATCTTTTTGTGAGTGTTGAGGTTCCACTTTTTTTCATAATTTTTTTTTTCCATCCCCACCTTCCAGATTCTGGTAGATGATGATGGAAAGATTGTTGATGCCAAGTTCAAGACTTTTGGTTGTGGGTCTGCCATCGCTTCCAGCTCACTGGCTACAGAGTGGGTCAAGGGCAAGTCTGTAAGTATTCCGTCAGTTTTTTGCTCAAGTTACAGAAATAAAATGGCAAAGGTCTTCTTGAAATATTCTGTCAACATAACCATGTCTTAGATGAACTATAGAGACCAACAGCAACCAAAGCCCACATTTATTTGCTTTATACATATCAAAACTTGATACTAGGACAGTGTCAACTTTTCTAGTTTTGTACAGTTTTTCCAAGATATTGTATATTTCCCTTTTGTCCACAGATGGATGAGGCTGCTACCATTAAGAATACTGATATTGCCAAGGAGCTGTGTCTTCCACCGGTCAAGCTGCACTGCTCAAGTAAGTACATCATCAGTCATGTATGCAGGGCTGGAAATACCACCTGCATATGCTGGTTATTGCAGGTATTTCTGATGTCTACCTGCACATAACCTATGTGGTTCTTTATTTGCTTCTTTGACAGTGAAACTGTATGTAGAGCCAACTGGTTCGAAATTGCTTTCAGTTCTCATATTTTATGTAGAAGTCTGTGTTCTGAGAAGTTTTTGTTGTCCTTGCAGTGCTCGCTGAAGATGCTATCAGAGCGGCTCTGAATGACTACAAGCTGAAGAACAAACCAGCGGAAGAGTCGTCAGATGCGAAGGCTGCAGCGCAGGCCTAGAAGCTAATCGTGTGTACAAAGCTTCGATGAGAAAAAAAAATACCAAAAAAAGTATAAAAACTAAAAATACCAACAACAAAAAAAAGAATAAAGACCACAAAAAAATACTACGTGTAACACCCTCAGCATTCGGAAGCGAGAGTCCTGAGTTCTAACCCCGGCAGGTGTACTGATGGATATGTTGGCTTAGTGTCTGCTTTTTAACAGGCTGTTGACTTAAAAAGGGTCGCTGCAGATGTAGCATAACGGCAGAGTGTCAGTTTAGAGTTGTTACAGTCCCACACAGACTTGTGGAGTTGTGGTGGTGTGTTCAGCACATCGGCAGAACATACAGCGCCTCTGCAAAACCTGGTACGTAAAGTACATAGAACTTCTACAGACTGCATCATTTAAGGTACTACGTAGTCTTCACAGATTTAAGGTTTGCAAGTCGTGTCAGGAAAGATATCTTGTGCAATGGACAAGAGTCTGATGCAACCAAACATCCAATAGAAACCGTTTTGCGCAGGCGCAGTACATTCTGCCGATGTGCTTGTGTGTTCCATGTTGGTTTTTGCACTAATTTGCACAGAGCCAGTAGGGTATAGAAATGATTGGTGAGACTAACATTTTTGGCGAAGCCTGAGGGGCGATGCCTTTCTAGCTATGATGGCAACATTTTGAGTAGCGATTTTGTGTGCAGCCTGGATAGCAAGGGTTTATTGTATGAGAACTTGTCTGTATCCCTGTAAACTGAGTATTTACAAAAATGGCCCCCCAAAAAAAGAATAAAACATGAAAACTGCACCGAGCACAATCTATAAGAGATGACATCCGCACACTGTAAGTGTAGGCATGCAATTTTGGTGGAAATGGTGGCTTCTTTTTTGTTGATGTTTTTGGTGGTCTATAAATGACCAGAGGTACAGTATTTAGGAAGGTACTGTGCAGTGCATGGCTGAGGTGTTTCTGTGTCAGGGTAAAACCAGTTGTCTAGGGTACTACTACTGTACTAACTGTGATAAAGTTATATCATTGTTCAGAAAAACAAAGAGGAAAGATGCCATTAGATATGGCAAGAAGTATTGGCAAATACTTGAGTGTATCAGACTAACTAGGACTCTATACTTGTGATTTAAGAGTTAACCACCATCAAGTTGATTTGTAATGTACCATCACTAGTTCCTCGCATGAATCAGGTTACGGGATGAAGAGGATTAAAGCAGTTTGTGACATAAAATGCCTAAGAACCGAATCATTTTGTTAGACAGAAGGATTGTAGGGAGATGAATAAAGCACCAGGGATATGAGTGAAATAAATTTGCCCAAAGAAGTGGAAACTTACCGTACAGTTATGAGGAACAGATAACCTGTGGCCAGTTTTTTGTCATTTAGTCTCCGATTTTTCCATCACGTGTTTGAAAAATCACTGATGGACACTTTACTGTATATATCTAGGGAACTAGTCAAGATATTGCAGTTAAGTTGGAGTCAACAGGATGAAAGGTTATATGTTCATGCCAAGTGCTTTGAAGCATACTAATAAAGTATAGTTTGACTGGGACTATGTTGTTTATTTCTGATTGTTAATACCCTTAACAAGCTAGATGAAAATGAAGAAGGCAAAAGCATCAGGCGGAATACGACGTAAGAAACAACAGTGATGTACATGTATTTTGTTTCCCCTATTTTAACAATACGCAACACATAATACATAAACTCTGCGGCATAACAACATTTGATCTCCAAATGCGTGTATAGGAAATGTAACAATGTGATTTGTACATAGTAGAGATAAACAACAGGAAATCCATTAAAATGATTTCTTCATATCTAAAACTAACTCTTGCGGCAGTAGCTTTCAGTATTGATACAGTTAACGTTGCAGTACAATGTATTAATATAGTCCTGTTTGACAGGCTTTTATGAACACTAGCTAAATCAAGTGTAAAACACCATGAGAATCCTGCGTACAGTACAGCTCGCGTCAATGTTTCCATCGTGCCGCGTCAATGCCGCGTTCCCCGCGCGTTACGAACGCGTTCGGCAAATATGCATAAACGCTAACCCGCACGCGGCATAACGCGGTAGAGTTGGCGAATCGCGTAACCATAACGCGTTTCCGATCGCCAGACGAAAGTTAATGAGATGGCGTCAGGTTTCATGTTTGTTTTACGGTTTTGTAAGACAATAGCAACTTGTCACCTTGAACAGCGTCATGTAGCATTGTTGGCACCTCTCTCATGTCGTTACAGAGATAGGTACAACTACAATTTTCAACACAAAATTTAGTGCGTTTATAACGTTTCAAAAGTCAACAGCCGTAAGAGAATGTATCTCACAAAGTGCCGACCGTCGTCAGGCCGACGCACATCGGGGCACGGCCCGCAGCGTTATGCAGCGGACGCGGAGTCTTGACACACAAAACTCTTCAAGAAGCCGCCAAAATTCCCCCAAATTTGCACCTAAACGGACGCTAGGCCAAAATGTCAACGTTTTATAGGGTTTCATCCGACGAAAACATTGTCGAACATTGTCGGCAAAGCGATACCACCACGCCCCCCTCCCCCAACTCACATATAACGCGCAGCCTTCCCTATAGCCGATACGTTGAAAAAACTGTCGTTTTCCAGGGGTATTTTCACACCGAATCTACGATCTTTGCGTACATCGGATAAAAACATATGTTATAGCTTTATTATTCTGAATAATGGTACGGTATCACTTTTTCAAAGTAGCAATCAACGACTAGGAAATCTGACCATGCCGATCCGCAGGGGGAGACGATCGTCCGGCGGTCCACAAGTCACCGCCAAGCCGGGCCGCCCGGCGATGATATCAGCCTCTCTGTAGCAGCGGCAGCCTGCTACTTACCGTCCGAATACTTACCGTCCGAATACAGAAGGATTATCCGTAGCTAATTGATAACAGTATTATAGCATATGTTTCTGTTGGAGTCACTTTTTTCTCGTAATTTTTTTCTCTCCGTCATGCTATATACTCACATTAACAAGTTACATAAGTTCAAATCAAAGGCGTTCCAAAAACGCCCCTGTTCGAACAAAGAGATATTCTATACTTCTACTGTATCCTTGATGTTATAAAATGATGTAGAATGTTGCATAATTTTTTTAAATAATACAAAACAAGCTGACTGGGAAACTCCGGACTGGAAAAAACGGCGATCCACTATCCACTAGTAGCAGGTAAGTTGGGCTCATCGGTCGGAAGACAGGACTCAGAAACGCAGGTAAGGAGAACCTTCCATCCAGAACTAGGAGTCATAGGACTTGTCATTTCAAGCAAGCAATAGCGAAAGAATATGTTTATAAACTTGTTACATTCGGCGATCGGGAGGATCGAATTACTGAAGGCACCGCCTTTTAACTTTTATGTCTCACCATGCGATACAATCCGTACTTCAAAGAGCAAATCTTGAAAGTCGTTGTACATGTACGTCGGAACGATAATGTTTTGTAAAGCGCCATTTATGATGTACACTGCATATACATATTCTTCAGAACAGAACCAATGAATAAACACAGGCATACATGTGTACTGAAGAATAATGCGACTGCGTCCAGTGGCAGTGCGTATTTGGGAACTAATTTAAGTAACTTCGTTCTCAAGTTCGATATACATCAAACCAAAAGTAGCACATGGACAAATAAAATCTACAACTACTTTCTTTGTACAAGTAAAGAATTGTAAAGATGTAATGTAAAGAACTTTGTCTTATTTGCTAGCGAGTCAGAAGTTTTCTATCTGCAAGACACTGGAATAATTGCACACAAACTAAACAGGGTAAGATTTCAGACAAAGGGAAGACTTGATTATATATTATAGCAGTCAAGAAGAGCTGGATGGAAGCCTTGGGACTGGCTGCTGACAGGGAAAGCTGGGCTACATTGACTGCCTCTTGCGTCACGAGACGCGGGAGCCCGCTTAGAGGACGGAGAACCCGAGTCCACTAATAACACAATACTGAATAATGCTGGGGTCATATTTCCTGGATCACATTTCCAAACCGGGGGCCGGTATCGATGTTACATACACATGTGTAGGTCCTGTTCCCATCCAAACCTTCTCTTCCAAAGGTCGACATCACCTGTAATAAAAAATAATTAATTTTTTCTCTGATTACTATGGAGAGCTGATGTATTTTGCATACATGTACATTTAATTCTGTTAATAAGTAATACTGACAAAACATATACTGGCACACAAAACAATCAGCTTATTCGATCATAAAATTTGTAGCTGATTACCGTATAGTTCATTGAAGTAATCAAGAAAAAACGGTCGTTTGCTAAGCGATTGTTGGTAACTCGTTTATACTATTTTAGCGGGAAACTTTTCATCTTCGGCTGTTCTACGTTCGCCGCGGGCCACAGCCGGCTCGCAAGACATTACCACCGCAACGAAAGGTAAGGCAAGTGCAGCGAAACGTGCAGCTTTGGAGAGTGTCGGCGATCAAGTAAGCAATGGTAAAAGATATTTGAAAAAAAAAGAAGACAATATTACAATGTTGGTTTTATCGGTGGGGGGGGGGCATTTAAATGTTAACGCAGTACGTAGTTTTGTTGTTCTTTACGAAAGGCGCCGACAGTTCTAAGCTGATCGGCAGCAATCATTGAGGCGGGGAAGTATTTAAAATTTCACACCGAAACCAAAGCAACAACAAAAGGCTTCTGTACCCCCACTTGCGATTCTGAACGTGAGAGAGTGGAAAGGTTTCAAAATATCTCGTACAAAGTAATGCTTATGTCAAAATCAAAGGAATAAAAATCCCCAGCATTGAAAGATCTGGAAAGCTTCCCGCCGCTGGTTCCCACGATGCGTGGCCAGCACGTGCTCAGCGAGCTAGACAGAGTGGCGTCACGCCTTCCAAGGCAGAGACCGGACCCCGCCCACTGGTCGGGCGGCAGGACGTTTCACAAGAGTAGATTTTAAACTCCGCCCCAATCATTGCAACATCCCATGCCGTGTAACGTTACAATCTACACAGCAAGTTTCACGTAGTACAGGCTGGTATAGCCCCGCTACAACGTGGCATTTATCAAGATTTTATGAGATTTGTGGTACGTAATGAAACAATTTCTGTCAACCGAACCTTTGTAACAGCATGGATGTCGTCTTTGTCCGTAAGTGCATAAAAACTGACCACGCACACTCACTGGATGTTATGTAGCGGTGGTAATGTCAACTTACGTTTATTTAGGTCACGTTACGACGATCAAGAGCGTTCACGGCTTGCATTTCAAATTACCACTCATAAACCCTCTTACAATTGTGTATATACTTACGGGGTCGATGAGTTATTTTCTGCCGGTGTCTTCTGAGATCGGCGCCGGCTGGCTGGCGAACAATCTTGCGCTCGGGACGTGAGTGACCTACATTTCTTACCATGTGTCACTTGACTTTATTTTGAAGAAACTTGGTGTCAATATCGACGATACCCAACAGAAAGATGCTCATTTATCGAAGATAACTTTATTTCCACTCTTCAACATTCTTATCTAAACATGCTATGAACGAATCGATGCCGTTCCAAGCTCCACTTGCCGGTGTTCGCTATATTCCTGCGGCGTCGACGGATTTCAGGGAAACCCTCAAATTAAGTACGCACCCCGTCTTTGACGATTTTGAAAAGTTTCAAAACATGAGTGCTTTATTCTGGAATTTATGGTACTATCATTATCAAACGACACGAAACGTTATTTTTTCGCAGGCCTTAACCTGCTATACTTTGTACAAACGACTCCAGATACGGGTACCCTTGATACTACACACCGCGGTATTGCCACAGTAGCCGTGCAGATCTTGTCACAGAAGATCGTAAAATTTTGACGTTGTCTTGAGTCCACGCATTTCCCACCCTGCGTGGGGTTAATCAGTACCCATCCTACTTCCCTTTAATCTTACCGCCCCGTGCATATGAATACCTATGAAAACGCGTTATAGTTGAAACCCTGACGCTTGGCGAACGCGTTATAGTTGAAACCCTAACGCGGTCTGCCGCGTTTCACACCCTTCATTAACGCATGCGGAACGCGGTCTTATCGCGTCAATGCCGCGTTCGCGGTTGTCAGAGTTGGAAACTATAACGCGAGCTGTACTGTACAAGTGTTCTCATGCACCAAACTGTTACAGTGTCACCTTTACTTTACATGTTAGCATTAAAAGCACGGTCATGGAAAAAACCTAAGTACTTCTTTGGCCAAAGGGCCAGAAACATGCAGCATATTTTTTTCACTGCAAATCAACTCCATGGCCACACCTGAAATCAAATGACAGACATACAATAAATAATGTGAACTGAAATGTTAATGGCATCCCATGCAATTTCAGGGCAGCAAAACTGGATTTTGAATATCAATTTTCTGGTCATTCTTTAAATGTCACTATCAGATTTCTGAAATTGAATTGGATGCCTTTAAGTTGAAGCTGGTGTGTTACGCTGAAGGGCGGTTGTACCAGCTATAAAGAGACAGATACAGAAGTTGATATTACCTTTTTCGGTGCAGGTGGTGGTTTCTTTGTCTTGCCTTGTCTCTCGGCAGTTTGTTCCTTCAGGCTTTTCTTGGAGTCCATCTCAGACAGAACCACGAAGAAATGGTGGCACTTTTCACACTTCACAAACCGGGTAGAGGCTGCAGACATGAAAAAAAAAAAACACAAATGACTTCAAGATCATTTTTTAAGAATTAAAAAAGATTAAAGAATTTTAAGGCAAGTACAGGTAATTCAAATTTATTTAGACAATATGAAAAATACTTTATGCTATAGTTTTTCTTGGACTATGGGTTTGTAGTCGAGTCTGTTTACTATTACATATAACTGTTAGTATTTTAAATGTCAACAAACAGAAGACGAAGACATCTTGAGTTTGTCTTACAGACGAAAGTCTCCACGTGTGTGCATGGATCTCCACACTTGGGGCAGCACAGTTGTCCCTTCTTGTCTCCCCCGTTCTTGTCCCCCCCGCCGCTGCCCTTGTTGTTGCCGTTGGTTGGTTCCCGTCCCCCGTCCCCTGATGAACCGTCCTTGCTGGTCCCGCTGCTCCTGAAGCCCGCGGCCGACAGCGAGAACATCCGCTGGGGAACGCACACGGCGAGCAGCAGGGGCGGCTGGCGGCCGCATATTCTTAACGTCGCTGTGGACACAGAGGGGAAGGTAACAGATTAGAGCAGACATAGATTATACATAATATAGAATACATGTACATGTATAACACTGGAGGCCAGAGATAGTGAGGGAGATCCAACCACACTAATTAAAAAAAACAACAAAAAAAAATTTGGTGTCCCTAAAAAATCGTAACAACATCCATATCTGGAGTATTTGAATATTCAAACAGCAGCTTTTGGAACCCCATGTGATAACCCAGTAGAATCCTGCGTGATACCGCTAGTTATCACACAGGCCCAAACACCTGTATCGAACATTATCACAGCCCAAGTAAGACATAAAAGTCATATTCATTTATCCTGACTCCCACTCATAACAATTTGAAGTACATGTACTAATAATGTCAAGGATGGCAAAAATAGACAGTCATGTTCTAGTCTACTTCAGGGCATTTTCTAAATATACAATTTCAGTCTCACATTGCTATACTCTAAAAGTTGTGCACATAAATCATAAACTGACATGTCATCATTGTCCTATACAAATGTACACGCAACTTTTATTTTACCAATACCACAGGGACCACAGGTTGTCATCTGACTAATGCAGGAAGGAATATTATATCATAATGATTAATGGCACTGTCACACGACTGTTATGTGACTTATAATATCAGTTTCCCTGTGACCTCCTGGTGTTCTAGTTTACCTTGTACCCTGGGTGGGACAGGGTTGTGATTAATCTTAATGTGGCACCCCAGGGTCAAACTACAATCAAATTAACTCAGTGTAGTCAAATCAATAAACTATAGCAATTAACTAATATTCTATGGTAGCCTGTCCAAACAAGAGTGTAAATACACTGCAGTGTTTTAAAATTAGTCAGTCAGTCAGCTTTAATTTACTGTTAATCATCGTTCGCCCAGCTTCACCTATCCCTAACTATATGACAGACACAAGAAAACACACAACACAAGTCTCTTTGTGGCAGAAATTAAAATTAGTCAATCAGTCAGCTTTAATTTACTGTTAATAGTCATGTCAGAAAAAAAACAATAGGGTTTGTGTAGCCAGTCTGAAAGTTGTGTACAGTGTACATGCTGTTAACAGCTCAGGGTTAAACCCTTAAATCCCTTGTTTTTCCAGACATGGGGGTGAGATAAATACATCCTACAACACAGGGCTGCCATAAGTCAAATGTACAATGCTATACATGTAATATATATAAATAGCATATTAATCAGCTATTTTCATACTAAGATTAAAATATCATGACTGGTTTGCAATCTACAGTTGTTGCTTGGAATATTTTTTGTGCTGTTCTGTTCTATACTGCATGCAGAAACAGCTTCATGAGACAAGAACACTGGTCAGTAATGGAAAATCCCCTATTTCATCATCCCAGTACAGAAGTAGGTCAA